GTCTCAGCAGAAAAATAAATATAATAAAAAGGAAGAAAATAGAAAATTTAGAACTAAAATAGAGAATTTCTGAAACAAAAAATTACCTGGATAGACTTAACAGTCAAATTGACATGACAGAGGAAAGAACAAATGAACTTGAATATAGATCAATAGAAATTATCCATAGTGAAGAACAGAGATTTTAAAAAATTATCTAAAAATTAGTCTTGGTGAAATGAGAGTGGGAGAAAAACCATAAGAGACTCCTACCTATAGGAAACAAACTGAGGGTTGCTGGAGGGGGGGGTAAGTGGGTGATGGGCATAAAGGGAGGCACGTGGTGTGATGAGCGCTGGGTTACATGCAACTGATGAAACACTGACCTCTACTTCTGAAACTAATAATATACTACATGTTAATTAAATTGGATTTAAATAAAAAATATCTTTTAAAATAGCATCTTGAGGATCTCTTAGATGATATTAAAAGGTTAAATATATGTGTAATTGAAATATCAGAAGGAAAGGAAAGAGAAAATGGGGCACAGCATACCTAAAAGTGTCAAATCATCATGAAATGTGAGAGCTACAACTATTACTTAGAGTATGAAAAAAAAACATCTGTGGTATATAGTTAGGCAAAGATTTCTTAAAACAGGACACCAAAAGCACAAACTATAACGGATAAACTGATAAAAATGGACTACATCAAGAATAAGAAAGTTTGCTCTTCAAAAGACATAGTTAAAAAAAAAAAGGCAACTAACAGACTAGGAGAAAAATTTGGCAAAACATGTATTTTTTTAATAATTTTTAATTTTTTTTTATAAACATATAATGTACTACTAGCCCCAGGGGTACAGGTCTGTGAATCACCAGAAAGCATGTATTTTAAAAAGGGCATTATCCTAATTGTATACAGAATCTTTGCAATTCAATAATAAAAACACAAACACCCAATTTAAAAAGGAAAAAATGATTTCAACAGATATTTCACAAAAGAAGATATGTGCACAGCCAACAAGCACCTGAAAAAAAGCTGAATGTTACTAGGCACCAGATAAATGCAAATTTGAAAAATCACATATACCCACTAGAATGGCCAAAATTCAAAAGACTGACAACACCAAGTGCTGACAAGGATGTGGAAGAACTTAGAAATCTCTGAGGGATACAGATGGGCAAGATAAGAGCAACCACAGTAAGCAGAAATACCCTTTCTAATGTTATTGCTGATAACAATGGAAGATGGAACAGCCACATTCAAGGACAATATGGCCGTACCTTATACAGTTAAATGTGTAAGTGGCCACAGAACATGAAAATATGTGTCCACACAAAATTGTACGAGTCAATTACCCCTAACTTCCAAATATGTACAGCTGTTATTCAGAATAGCCCCAAACTGGAAGCAACCCAAATATCCATCGAGTGGTAAACAGATTTTTTTAAAAGGTGGTATATCGTAGAATATGAATAAATTTAAAGTAAGGTTATATATCATAGAATATGAATATTCTAGGAATATAGAATATTCCTCAGTAACAAAAATTGTCAGTGAAACTCAAAAACATTATGCTAAGTAAAAGAAGTCAAACACAAAAATCTACATACTGTATGATTCCATTTAAATAAAATTCTAGAAAAGGCAGAATCCTCATGGCAGCATCTCAGAGACTGCCCAGGGCCATGGGTGAGGAAGGAGGTGGAATGCAAAGAAGCATAAGGTAATACTTTGGCAGAGGGATCTATTTTATATCTTGATCTAGTGGTTGCTGCATGGTAATATACGATAACAGAAACCATCAACTGCACATTAAACTCATGAATTTTACTTTATGGCAATCTCATAACAAAAGACAAAGAGAATTTTTTTTTTTTCAAAAGAGCATAGAATTAAAACCAAGTATTTCGCACATTGAATTCAGCAGAGAGCCCAGTTAGATAATTCAGGATAACCCAAAGAAACTTAGCAGAACAGCTAGCCTTCCAAAGAGAATGACAGATCTATTACCAAAACTATCTGAAAACAGCATATCTGTTTACTGATCTGGCATTAAATTAAGCATTCCAATAAATGACTCTGGGAAGTAAAATGGGCTTGAATCAAATAAAAGAAAATGAAAACCATGTGTTTGCCCTTCTGGTCAAACAGTGACTGGGCAAGAAATAGCAGCAGAGAAAAACCTAGGAAAAAAAATTGGCACTAACTAACCAAAAAAAGGAATTTAATCTTCATAGCTAGTGACATTATATGGTAGAATTGGAAAATACACAAAACAATGTGTTTCAGGGACTTCAAAAATAAAGAGCAGTCAAAATTGGGATTAGAAATTATCTTTCAGAAAGTAATTCTTAATTAAGTGGTATACTCGAAAGACACATTCATTTCACTTTATATAAAAGAGATAAACACTGAATGATCATCTCAACCCTTTCATGTTTTAGATTTTCTTAATAACCTTATTATTTTAGAATAGTTCTAGATTTACAGGATTATTGCAAAGACAGTACAAATAGTTCTCATAAGCCCCACACTCCATGTGCCCTATTACGAATCTCTTACATTAGCGTGGTACATTATTCACAATTGGTGAACCAGTGTTAATATATTCTCACTAACTGAAGTCCATTCTTTATTAAGATTTCCTTTGTTTTTACTTAATGTCTTTTCCTGTTCCAGTTCCCACCAGGAAAGAACACTGCATTCAGTAATCATATTTCCTTGAGCATTTCTTGATGACGACAATTTCTCAGATTTGCCTTGCTTTTGATAACCTCGACAGTTTTGAGGAGTACTGACCGGCTATTTTGCAGAACCTCCCTCAGCTGGGCTTTGTCTGATGTTTTTCTCATGGTTAGACTGGGATTGGACTTCTGAAATATCTTTTGCTTCACTCTTTAACTCTTAAAATCACCATAATATCATATTAAAATAATTTGGATTATTATTCAGATAATCATTTCCATCTGATTAAAAATGAAAATGTCTGGGGCACCTGCCTAAATGTCTCAGATAGTTAAGAGTCTGCCTCCAACTTAAGTCATGATTTTGGGGTTCTGAGATGGGCCATGTCCAGGTCCCTGCTCAGCAGGAAGTCTGGTTCTCCCTCTGTCTCTGCCCAGCCCCCTACTGTGCTCTTTCATTCTCTCTCTGTCTCAAATAAATAAATAAAATATTTTTTAAAAATGAAAATGTCTAAAAGTATTCATGTTAGAGTATATGTATGTGAATTTAAGTAGATCTCAGTGAATTATCAATCATACTAAAGCTCTAAAATATAGTTATTATTTTATATACTCTACCTTATAAAAACCACATTAATAATTATTTTTAATTAACTGAGCCTCAAATTAGATACAGTAGTGAAACCACAGCTAGGCAAGCATAATTCCTAAACTTACAGAGGGTCATTTTTGATTAAGAGCTTTAAGTATTTTAAGGAACTAAATTATATATTTTGATATATTCTGTTCTAAATGGCAAGTGGATTTTAAAAAGTTAATTTCCAACTGGCTTTAAGAGATAAAAATATCCTTGAAATATGAGGAAAAACATGAACTCTTATTATTACCACCTTGATGATATAATTTATTAATTGTTACCCTTACCCTGTTCAAATTTAAGAAAGGAATGTAAAAGTGAACAGTTTAACACATGGAGGAAAGAAAAATTTACTCTGTTAGTAAAGCCACTGGATCAGTGACAGGTCCTTTTTCTCATGACACGAGGCACCTTATTCATGAGGGAAAAAGTCACAGGAATTTCCATGTCTGTCAAGCTCTGAACTTCAATCCACACTTTTACAAAATGTTTTGATCTATATGTCCCAGATTATTATTTGGCTTTAATCCTAAAGATAAGGCCAACAGAAGTTGGATGTGTTCAACACGCCAAGGAAAAATGTTACCTGACATGACCTTGGCAAAGGTGAACGAGCTCTAGTCTTTGGGGGTTAAACATAAACAGCTAGGCAGGTGGGCAAGCCCAGAACAGATTACCTACAAAAGTTACCAGCCTGTGTTCTTGCTAAGATGGTGTGCAAGTAATTTAAAGGAAAGGAAAAGGAAACAGCAAAGAAAACCGACTCAGCACAACATCCGCAGAAGACATCACATCCACCTGTCTGGTAGGTCAGTCACACAGGTCATAGACCCAAGCCGAGTTTCTGGGCATCCAAGCCAGCCTGAGTCTGCAGACGGCTTGGCTTCTCGTGGGGACTCCATACATTTATCAGAAAAACAAGTGAGGCATTGTCTTCACTAAAACAGCCCAGGTAGGCAGCCAACAGCATCTCAGGAAATGCTGGCAGCCCCTCAAACAGCCCCACAAAAGTTCTGTCTGCAAAAGCCAAGAAACCCACTGCTGTGTCACTGCTCACTTTCTTTTTCTTTTTTCTTTTTTTTTTTTAGGATTTTTTTATTTATTTATTTATTTGACAGAGATCACAAGTAGGCAGAGAGGCAGGTGGAGAGAGAGGGGAAGCAGGCGGAGAGAGAGGGGAAGCAGGCTCCCTGCTGAGTAGAGAGCCCAATGCGGGGCTCGATCCCAGGACCCTGGGATCATGACCTGAGCCGAAGGCAGAGGCTTAACCCACTGAGCCACCCAAGTGCCCCACACCGCTCACTTTCTGACTGCGACATCATCTGTAGGAGGAACAGGTCTCAGGACTGAGGTCGAAAAGAAGAAAGTCCCCTTTTAAGAATAGCCTTTCTCCTAATTTTCCTGTTTATCTACCAGCCTGCTTATATCTCAGCCCATAAAAGAAAACAAGTATAGCCTTTAAAGTCACCTTCCTCAGTGTCTGTACATTTCAAAGAACAGGGAGAGAAATCATCTAATCACAGAAGGTCAAATAAGAAAGGGACATGAGTTTTACCCAGTCCAACTACCTATCTGATTAATGAAGGGAAAACACAGGCTTCATCATGTCCCAGAAATTAAGGGCAGGATTTTTTTTAAGTTTTGATCCAGTTCTCCTCTAGTAAATCAGGATCAACCTTGAAGAAATGACATACCTGTCGAGAGCTGATATTTATAGGTTGTTTTAAAACAATCCACGTGACACTCTCAAGAAGAGGTGGGACTGTTAGGGAACCAGGATATGTCCAGTAGTCCCAGGATGGAGGAAGCAGAGATAATGGGTCAAAATTTGTGAATCGAGTTTGTTTACCCTGGTAGAGAAAAGAGAATTCCCACAAATTATAACGGGAGAGTTTGACACCGCCCTCAAAAAAAAAAAAAAAAAAAAAAAAAGCATCCAATGAAAGACCTTTGTGCTAGAATTCTTTAATTTGTGGAATTATTTAGTATCTGCCTTTGTATCTTAAAAAAAAGTTTCTGTCTTAACCTAAAAATGTTAGATGAAGTAGCACATTCCCTAGATTTATTTAAGAACACAAGATTTGTTTAAAGTGTGTTGCAAGTTTTAGATGCTGATTATGCAACACTCCAATACCAGAAACTAATCATGCATAGTTTTGTTAGTAATGATTTTAGGTAATTTAAGACCCCCTTTCATAATTTTCAAAAGGCAAATGGTAATAGGTTGATTCTGCTCTATTGATCAAGTATATTCCAAACCTGCTTCAAAGCAGATAGCATATGTTCCATCTGAACATATGTCTAAGTTATTAAAAGAAAGTAAGAAACTTCAGGAGAGAACAATGAATACATTAGTCATTAGCAAATAATATTTCATTTTACCTTTTCTTTAATAGAATCCAAAATGTCTGTAATCTTTTGCAGTTGAGAATTATGTTCACCAATCTGAAAGCACAACATTTCAGAAGAAATGGTTACTGTAGCAGAACCAGGTCTGGTTCACTCCATTTCAATAATTGGTTTTGAATTAAAAAACAAAAACAAACAAAAAAAAACTACGCCAGCCCAGAACAAACAGAGATTGTTCTATAATGAAGCTGCCTTTTACCTGCTGGCTTTATCATGCTAGAAGAATCTGAACAAGGTAATGTTACAGGTTCCTTGGCTGAATTTTAAGCTTGATTCCAAAACTAGTATTAATAGCTACATAGTTTTTCAGCTTTATGAATGTTTAAGATACAGGTTAACTTAAGAGAAAACTCCCTTGGGAAACTCTAACATAATACTATTCAACCAGATGTGACCTTCAGATCCTAGATCCAAACTGACTCTTGAGACATCAAAGCATTAAAAGAAAATATCTCCAGCAACACCTGGGTGGCTCAGTCAGTTAAGCATCTGCCTTTGGCTCAGGTCATAATCCCAGGGTCCTGGGATCCAGGGGGCTCTTTGCTCAGCGGGGAGCCTGCTTCTCCCTCTCCTTCTCCCTCTGCTCCTTCCCCTGCATGTGCTCTCTCTCTCTCTCTCAAATAAATAAAAGAAAAGAAAAAAATCTCCCACTTACAACCTAAAATGATTTAAGTTCCTGAACCAACATGATATATTATCAATGAGTAGAAATCATCATCAGAAAAATATATGTACCTCTCTTCATTATTATGGATGTCCTGAATCTAACTAAGCTTTTAAATCCTTCAGGATTAAAACATAATCTCTTGCCTCACTCGCATTCCACTGCCACCAGTGGACTTGGCTGCCAAAGGCAAGAAGCTAGCCGCTGCCATTCATCCCACCCTCCGTTCTGCCCTGTACTTCCCCCAGTGACAGTCCCAGCCCCAAGGGGTTACAACATTGCACAGAGTCAGTAGCAGAGCAAAAGCGCCGACCCTGCAAGAATGCGGTCACAGTGGGAGCTGAACGGCCCAATCCACCCACGGGGATTATAACAAGGACACTTGCTTCACCACGTGTGAATAGGAGACAAAGGAAAAGACAACAACAGTTTTTCAAAAACTGGTCAGCGTGTTTGAGACAACAGACCACTGTGGTAAAACTAGTGCTTCAAGATTCAGGAACTTGAACTTCACTCGGTCCTGTATCTCTAAATACTGTGTCATCAGAAAGAGCCTAGAATAAAGATTTCCTTCTCGAATCTCAGTTGTTACTCCTGCTACTATTGTTGTGGCTGCGGCTGCTGCTGTTTCTGTTCACATAAAAATGATCAATGGACGATAAGAGAAGATGTAAGACAATACTTCTAAGGTAGTTCTGGGCTGTTAGATAAATCATAAACTAAAACATAAATGTTTAATATAATTTCCAAAGGAAAACATTAAACTTAGAAGGAGTTTACTATTAAAAATGGTACGATTACATTTTCCATGACTGAAACTCTTTATCCAACATGGCTGAGGAATTATTTAAAATGAAATTGGTAGATTCTCACCTGTAAAAATACTCCCAAGACAGCTAGTCCATCTGGCTCATGAGCTGCCTCAACAAAGCTGGGGTATTTGTCTGAATTCCAATGAACAACATGGAGCTGAAAGGGACACAATTCAAAAAAAATGTTTTTAAATCCTTAAAAACATAAATGAAAATGAAATATTTATATAGATATTCTGGGTTTGTGCACACATGTGTATAATGTATTCTTCACAGAATCCTCCTTTTTGCTTTTGTCTAAAAGCCAAAGACAAGTACCATGGCCACTTGGAGTCTGTGGTATACTATAGGAAGGTCTACAGCACTAGTTAGAACATTCTGGAGCATCCTGCCAAGCCCTCTGGTCCAAGCAATCTCCAACCATTGCTCCTGAGTGACTTAAGGCTCCTCCCTAACCTTCCACGGGTGGAAATGCAACAGAGCAGCCTTAAGTCAGATCTCAGCTGGTAGCAGAGTCCAGGAAACAAGCTTAGGCTCACAGGAGGGGGGAGACGTCAACTGATGGTTTGTAGTAACAATCCTGCTGCTAAGGACAGTACTGATTGTTCTTGAAACTGCCTAGTCAGATGTTCATCTCCATACCCGAAGAATTTTTATGACTGGAAAAAGCAAATTCTCCTTAACAGAACTATCTTAAGCAGTATTCACACATGTGTTACCTTCTAGAATTATGTTCCAATCCTTTGCTGATAGCAAGTTTTAACGGGGACAAAGAGACTTTGTCTAGGAACAGGAACTAGGAATCAGGCACATCTGAGGGTGAAAATGAGAGGCATTTGGTGCTACTGAGGTGGGAGAAAGGAAAGAAGGGGAAAGGGAAGGAGTTGAAGGACCTGGAACTCTAGAAAATAGAAAATACACCTACTTCACAACTCTGCCCTCTTGCAAGTAGCGTCCTGCAAAATCCAAAGGGGTCCTAAAAGTTCTGCGACTGTACACAGTACCGTGTCCCAAACACACAAACAACCGTGAAAGACAACTGTGAAAGAATAACAGTAAGGCAGAAAACCACCCTGGGGAGATCTTCAATCCTGATTAAGGGGAAGAACACACTACAATAGACACCAAAGGGCAATGTGCCACACTCAAAACAATTTGGCCATGATCATGAGCATGCCATGCTGTCCAAGAACCCCTGTACGAAGGACTGACCTCAGATACAATCTCCTTTCAGTGAATCCTTTGGGCACCTCAGGGGGGAAACACATATGAAGGGCTTCATGCGCAAGTCACCTTTCTAGCTGTCTCTTAAAAGAGAGAACTGAGTATGTTCAAAGTCATGGTTTTAATCCCATGCTTTAAATATAACTTCCTATTTTATAGGCAACTAATATGGGGGAATTTCTGGATAAATAAGAATTATCACAACCAGTGAGCTACAAAACTATGAAACACTCCACCATTCATAAACAATCAAGGAAGGCTGTGGGATATACAGATCGAAAATACAAAGGTGGATCCCTGCGGTACCATGTTCTAAGCTGGTGTGAGATAGCTGGAGGAGGAACGAAACCTGGAAAACACTGGATGATGAAACAGAATTCATTTGGCTCACATGAGGTAAAGACATTCCACTCTAAGGGAGGGGCTGAAAAGAACATTAAAATTGTTTTAAATGGCTCTGTGCCAATCTATCAGCTCACTTTGTAAGAGATGACACCAAAGAAAGAAAAAGAAGTGAAATGATGTCTTTAGGTTCACAACTGATTAGAAAAGGAATATGTAACTAAAGAGAAATGAATCTATATATCCTTTTCTTGGTTAAAAAACAGCAATTATTTATGGGTGCCTGGGTGGTTTCAGTCAGCTAACCATCTGCCTTCAGCTCAGGTCATTATCTTGGGGTCCTGTGATAGAGACCAGTGTTGGGTTCCCTGCTCAGCAGGGAGACTGCTTCTCCCTCTGCCCCTCCCCCCACTTGTGCTCCCACTCACTCTTTCAAATACATAAAATTGTTTAAAAAAAATAAAAAACAACAGCTATTTAGAATATTATGGGAAACTAGAGCAAGAAAAATCTTTTTTTTTTCCAAGTCTTTCTCTCTCCCACACACCTTGCCTAATTAGCACCAATAGCTTCAGAGGGACTGATACCACTTGTATTAGCATTCATATTTGTTTTTGCAGGGTTTGGGAGTTTCTTTTTAAGATTTTATTTATTTATTTGACAGAGGGAGAAGCAGACTCCCTGCTGAGTATAGACACCTCCTCCCCCAACATGGGGCTCAGCACCAGGACCCTGGGATCAGGACTTGACCTGAAGGCAACCACTTAACCAACTAACCCACCCAGGTGCCCCACCATTTGTATTTGAATTAAAACTCAAACAAATAACAAATTCGCATTTCCAGACCAACAATGACAGCTTCAGTGATTTAAGCAAATGACAAGAACTCATAGCCACAACAAAACTGGAAATGAGAAGATTCTTCCCTATTAGAAATAATCTTTTTTTTTAAAGATTTTATATATTTATTTATTTATTTATTTATTTATTTATGAGAGACCAGGAGCACAGGGAGGAGCAGAGAGAGGGAGAGAGAATCTCAAGGATACTCCGTGCTGAGGACCCTGAGATCATGACCTGAGCCAAAATCAAGAGTCTGACCCTCAACCACTGAGCCACCCAGGTACCCCAATAATTTCTAAATTATACTATTATTCAACTTTAGCATTTTAACTGCATACTATTGATACGTAAATTATGTTTAACCTGCCAAAAATCATCATTAATATTAAAATTATAGTTTTACTATCAACTACATATTTAATATGCTTATTATATAATCTGTACAAACTGTAATCAGATGAAGTTTTAAATAGGGAGTAGATTATTAGCCTACTTTTTATAGACACACAACTCTTAGGGTAAGGTTTTTCCATGATTTAGAACACTTTAATCTCTCTCTATAATGTCACCAGTCATGAGATTAGACTCAAAGTTAAATTTTTATATGGTACACTCTAAATGTTTTCTTCCTTTCATTTCTTTTCTTTTTCTTCTTCTTTTTTTTTTTTTAAGTGGGTACAACTCAATGACAATCATGAAGTTAGGTACAAAAGTGGCGGGAAAAACTAATTAAGAATCATTTCTACAGCTGAGCACAAAGGGATTCTTTTTAACCTGAAACCAAATGTGATTCCCAAATACCTCCATCTCCAGCCTGGACATCTTCCTTAAACTCCAGGTCTGTACCTAATGGCCTTCTTGAATGTGAGCCTAGAATACTAATGGACACCTCAAACTTGATGTGTGCTCAAGAGAAAGTCAGCTTCTCTCTGCAACCTGCTCCTTCCTGTACTTGCTCATCTGAGTAAGTGGCAGAAAGATCCTCATGTTTGCACAAGCCAAAGTCTTAGGAATGTTTCTAGATTCCTCTTTCTTCTTCCTTCAATCTTGCTACCCTTTTCATTGGCAAGTCCCACGGATTTTCTTTCCCAAACATATCCCGGACTCACCTAGCTCTCTTTACCTCTACCACCTCCATAGACCAAACCACCACCCTTGCTCCTTTGAAATACTTCCATAAACTTCTAACTTGTCTCCCCGTTTCAACATTTGCCTGACATCTTTTCCACACAGGAGCAAGTTATACTTTATAAAATATAAAGTAGAACAGGACATTCCCCTGCCCAAAACCTTCCATTGTCTTTATCTCAATACATCAAGGATAAATTCCAAACTTCTCACCATGCCCTACAAAGCCCAACAAGACATGGCCCTTGCCTGCCTCTCTAGGACACAACCTATAACCTCCTCTCATTAATTCCAATCCCAGAAGCCAAAGCCTTTCGCTTCCTAAACGTGCCAACTTCATTTCTGCCTGAGATAATCTGTATTTGCTGTTAAGCTGTATAGATTTGGTGAGAAGCTGTACAGATTTTCTCATGGTGAGTTTTCCTATTTAATCATACTACCAGATCCCATAGTATTGTTCCTAACAAAGAATTTATCATATACCATTTACTTATGTGTTTATTGTCTACTTCTAACACCCCATCAATCCTGAGGTCTGACCCAGACTTCCTCATTCTCCATCAGCATTCCTATCTCCCACCGGAAACAAGGATCCCCTCCTCCCCCTCTCTCTCAAACCTAATCAATCAACAAATCCCACCAAAGCTGCACTGGCCACCAGCACTCCAATTAACTGCGCTATCATCTATTCCCGGAACGTCCCGCAAAGCCTCCTCCTCGCTGACTCTCCTTATCCACTCCTGCTTCAACCCAATTTATGCTCAAACTGTAGCATGAATATTTTTAAAATGCACATATGATCACTTCACGATTCAAAGCCAGTTAATGGCTTCCCAACGCACTTAGAATTAAGTTCACAAGACTTACCATGATTGATCTTTGTAAAATCAGGCCCTCCAGCCTTTCCAACTTTACCTCTGGCATCTCTCCACTTCGTTCTTTGTGTGCTAATTCCACTGGTCACTCTGTTCTTCCAACATGTGACTACCCACCCAAGTCCTCACACTTGAGTCTAGGCAGGGCCCCTGCTGTCTCTGCCCTTTGCCTGGCTCACTCCTGCTCATCCTTCAGGTTTAGGGTTGAGGCCTCTTCCCAGGGAAACATTCCCTGGCTCATCCTTACTTCCTTCCAGCACGAGTAAGCTGGACAAAGATGGGCAACAGGGTGGGGTCACGATGACTTCTTAAAGAGTGAATGATTCATGAACAAATAAACAAATAAAATAAAAAAAAAAAACAGCCTTAAACACATATTAAAGAATATACGAAACTCTAGTCAAAGCTTTATCTGTTTCGAGAAGGAAAGTCTACGAAGATGTCTCTTGTTCTGTAGGCAGGACTCTGAGCCTCTGGAAAATTTCAGGATAGGACTGCCCTTTTCAAGAAACAACTTGCCAGCTCAGATAAAACCTCTCAAAAGTATACTTTCAAGTTTATGACACTAGAAAGTATAACTATAAAGCAATGTGACTAAGTTTTTTTTTAGTTGCTTAGAAAAATTACAAAGCAGTAATCCAAAACCAGCTCAATCCCCACAGAAACTTTCAGATTTAGAAAAACGTGTTCAATTCAGAACACAAACTTCAGAAAGCAACATGAAAACTATTCAGCAGATGATATAAACTGAGGCACCACACAGATTCAGGAGCCCCACTTTCTATATTCTTGGCATCTTTTATCCAGTACCATGGAACACGTTGGATATACAATTTATTCCCTCCTGAAAACAGAGCGGGTCCCATATCCTGAGCAATTGGCCTCAAACAAGTGTTTTAAGTAGACAAATAGATGTTTTGGTTGATAAGCTCAAAGAATAGATGTACGTGTTAATGGAAGAGCAAAACTGGAAAGCTCTCTTGGCTGGATTTCTCTCAACAGCAGAACTATAAAGGAGTGTCTCAACTCCACAGCTTAGTAGCCATGAGAAAATGAAGAAAAACTTTACTTGCCTGGTAATGCTCTGTTTCACCTAGACAACTCATAAGCCAAATTACTGTCACTTAAAAAGCTTTGGTTGCATCACACAATAATTCACTCTCATCTCATGGAAAAGTTGAGTGTTAGCAATATTTAACAGTATTAAAACTTAAAGTATATTATGCTTTGTCATTTAACAGAGGATTAGAAAAAGTAGAGTAGTATTAATGAATTTAATTACAAAGGAATAACTTCTCAATTTAAAAAAAAAGTCAACGAATGCTTTATTGCATTATGACTTCAATAATTAACAGAGATTCCCTTTTATACCTGTAAATATAGAGGTACGGTAGAGTTTAGAAGAGTTCGTGTCTTTGTTTCTTTTCCCTGTAAGGAACTTTGCCATTTAATATCACTTCTACAAAATATGATATTAGTATACACCTGTGTCTGGACCAAATAAGTACACAGTTGGGCCCAAATCAAATGTCTCTTTCTCTGCCTTCTCCCTGGACTTTCAGGAAACACAACAGATATTCTAGAAAGAGTTTATAAGTTGGTATCAGACAGACGTGAGTTTAAACCCATCTCAACTGCTTCCTAACTGAGTAAGTTATTAATCTCTCCAAACTGGCTGTTTACTCATTTCTAGAAGGAGCACAATAACCCTAATCTCCCAGAGTTGGTGTAAGGCTCAGAAGGACCACGTTTATAGCTCTCATACTGATAAGCTCTCCTATTGATGGAATAAAGCAATATCAGACACTGATTCCTAATTGGCTCAGGATCAATTTGCAGTCAAGAGAGTTGTCAGCTGGGTTCCTTATATCCCACCACCGAGGAAACCACTGAATCATGAATATGTGTCCGACGGCTTACCTCTGCAGCATATCTCACTCCATCCACCACGTGTTCAGAGCCGTGATCATCAGCAGACCCCCAGTGAAGGTGAAACTGTCGCAAGCGGTAGCTTCCAGTGAGAGGACCCCCACGCAGAACTAAACGCCAATATATTTCAAATTGTTAGCAAGAAGAAAATATTTACACATGCCACTATAATCCACATCATCTCCCTGAATTATTCAACATGTCCATGTCCACCAAGGAATATTTTTACAAATGTGTCATTCAGTTTGCAGACAGGCATACAATTTTTAGGTGTACAAGGAATGAATACAAACATTTTAAAAGGTTGGAGAGTCCACAATACAGATTTTTATGGGACATCTGGGAAATCACAGTGGTTTGGAAAGTAGAAGAAATTAGGAGTTCCTAAAGTAAAGAATGAGTATGTTTATTGGTGGATGTCAGCCTCTCTGAATAAGGATGTGATATGTCAAGAGGGCCAATTTGAACTTGGGGAAGTAGCCCAGAAGCAATGGTTAGAGAACAGGTTCCAGCACTGAGAAGACTGCTCTTACTCTGTGATCTTGTATCAACTCTAACTTCAAAGCTATAGTTTTCATGTCTGTCACCTCAAAATACTAAGGCTCCCTCCTCCTAATGCTGTTTTGAAAATAGAAGAAAAGTTGAATACAAAGAACTTATCACTGCCTGGTACACAGCCCATATACTGGACATGTTAGCTATATTACTATTCTATTGTTTTTAGGATGACTACAAAAAATTGGCCAAGAAGCCCATCTTCTGTACTTGAATTCTAACTTCCCACGGAAACCTGGAATACAGGGCAAAATTAACTCTTTTTTTGGCAACAGAGTCATATCTTAAGTATACAGAAAACTTCTTAACAGAAAACATAGCTCTAAACTGTCTCCTCCTAATTAATTTTTATTGGGCATGCTTAAAAGATATGGGGGGATAAGAAAGCATTGGGTGTTCAGTATACCATACGCATTACTAATCTCCCATCAACACCTGACAGAAGTGTTAGATTGTGAGCTGCAGCCTTAATAATAGTTTGATTTAAATGACCCTCCTCTTCAGAGATTTCAGATAGGGAAACAGAGATACAGAGTTAGAGAAATCTCAAAATTGTCAGGAATGCTCCATCTTAGATAAGAAAAAAAAAGATGTTATGGGGCTCCTGGATGGCTCAGTCAGTAGAGCATGTGACTCTTGATCTTAGGTCGTGAGTTCAAGTCCCATGTTCCACAGGGAGACTACAGAAGCAAAAGATGTTAAGGTGTATCACGTGCAGTTTTCTACACATGGCAAGGGGAAAAAGGGAAAATACATTTGTTTAAAGCACACCCTTCGTTGAGCTTTACTGTGGGAGAGAAATGATTCAGACTGCTGTCTGTATTAACAAGTACAACTGAACTCATTTCCTCCTTACTCAATTTGACTCAGGCGAAGTTGAACATCAATGATGAAGAGTTAGTGTGGTTGGGATCAGCAAACATGGGAATAGTCCCAGATCAGCTACTGAATTATGTGATCTTCCAAAACTCACTTAAGCCTCTGTGGGCATCAGCTTTTTTGTCTCTATTTGTGTTCGTTTGTCTGTTTTTAATTAGGAGATTGGACTGATGCTCCTTAACTTCTATAATTATCAAAATTACCAAGGAAAAATACTGAACATGTGCAATAAAATTTGGGAGGATGTTGAATGACTGGAGGTTTCTTTAGACTATTTGGATCCAGATTTCTTTACAATAAAGATAGCTATTTCCAAAGACCTCTGAAAAATAAAAGAGAAGCATTTATATCAGACTCGAGGGCTTGCTCTTTTGTTAGTTGCACTGTTACAAACAGAGTAGTTTTACTGCTTTGAGTCTCCCACTAACAGTGTTCATGAGGGCAGAAACTCTGACTGGGTCCCTGCTGGACCCATCACCTAAGCATGGTAACTATCACAGAGCAGATGCATGATAAATATTTGATGAATGAATGAATAAAATATTTGATCTGTCTTTAAACAAGCAGTCAAAGATGATTCACAGATAAATTAATTTAAAAGGCACATTTGCCTAAGTGACTCCATTCAGCATGGATGCAATGGCATTCCAAATGAAATCATTTTTTAAAATTTTTCCTTTTTTCTTTATTTTAATTCCAGTTAGTTAACATATAGTGTGGTATTAGAATTCAGTGATTCCCCACTTACATATAACACCCAGTGGCCGTTACTTCAAGTGCCCTCCTTAATGCCCATCATCCATTTAGGACATTCCCCCCATCCTCCCCCCCACAGCTTGTTCTCTGTAGTTAAGAGTCTTTTATGGTTTGCCTCTTTCTCCGTTTCCATCTTATTTTTCCTTCCCTTCCCCTATGTTCATCTGCCTTGTTTCTTCAATTTCACATATGAGTGACAGCCTGTGATAATTGCCAAAGAAATCAACAATTCTATTGTCCTTTTTTCCCCCCTTACTGTAGCATAATAAGAGCTGAGCTGAAACAAAAAGTCATTCCCTCACAGATAAAAAGCAGATTAGAGTAATCAATGTGGAATAAACTTTGGGAGAAGATGCAAACAAGCTGGCTCAAGAGAAAGAAAGTGATATCAAAAACACACAGGGTTAGGGAAACATCCAAGAATCATGGTTGATCTCTGGAAAGCCTACTCAGAATCCAGGGTTTAAAGCCAGATTAGCATAGCTCTGCTAGTTAAGCAACAAAGATTGCCTTACACTCTATATATCTTACTCCACATGTGAGTGTTTCATCTACAATATCCAAACTGGGACCATAATCAGCAAATGTCTACTTATGAAGGAAGACATTCTCTTGAAGCAGAGCTCTTTTGAAGAAACACGGGTTGGGGAAAAGTGAGTCAAAATATTAAGGTGAATTTATCACTGACTTTGAGATAGTCTGTAAGAAAATAATGAAACTATAGTATGAAATGAATACGGGCAACAAAAATTATTCTTAGGGAGAATGACTTCGTGTTTTCAAGGGTCAAATCATTCATCTTCCTCTGCAACTGAGATGAGTAAATAAATATTATTATCTCCATCTTATATGTGAAAACGAATAATCATTTCTCCAAAATCACCCTTGGTATACATGTCCACTTATTCTTTCATTCAGAATTTTTCTTAAGTCTATTCCAAATAGAATACTCATATAAGAGGTCTACAGAGATTAAGAAACCTGAGTTAAATGCCATCAAAGTTTGGGAAATTTTTAATATCTTAGTAAAAGGGTCCTTGTCATTTGTGATATGCTGCAAAGACCAACAATGTTGTGAAACTAGAAATGTATATGTTACTCCCTTGAATTTGACTTTGTTAGAAATTTGCTAACCTTACTTATTTCATGAAACTACACTGTTGTCAGTGGCCTTAAATGATAAGCAAGGCTTGCAACAAAATCAGAAAAAAAAAAAACATTTAATAATTAACACACTTGTCTATGCATGTATTTACTGCCTATCCCACCAGCATACAAACTCTTTTAAGGCAGAATCTCTCTTGTTCTTTTTGTATCTTCAGTGCCTAGGACAGTGTCTGCATCAGTAAATATCACTAACAGAAAATAGGAAAAAGACCTCATCTGTAGAAGCACTTCTCCATAGACTTTGGTTTATAAGGTGGGCCCTGAGTAAATGACCTAGGAATTGCTAAAGAACATGTTCTTATGACTCTGAATCTAATGAAATCGCTGTGTGGTAAACAGTTCTCTGAAGTAAAGCTATGTGAACAGCACATCTCTATTTTGCTTGAATCTAGGAAAAGAGGAACCAAACAGCACAAAACTGTCAGGATTGTACCGTGAGAGAGAAAGAGACCAAGGCTATAAATGTTTCCGGTCCCCGGGGCCTGAATTCTTTATGGAACCAGGAAAGTCTTCATTCAATCTGGCTTCTTTTGTTCTGAGCATATGCACACCACGTTACTCTCTCATTGCTCATTCATTCAATGATTCTGAAGAGCTTACTTATGGGCCTGTGACTGTGTTCAAGGCTAAGTAAGTATGGGATGCTGAGTAAAGTCATCCCTACCCTCAAGGAACTTACAGTCTAGTGAAGGAAATGTCATTACACAAAAGCTTTGTAATGTCTACACTGTCACAAATCAGCAATTCCATTTCCTGCAGATCTGGGCTTCTGGGAGGGATCACACAACTAAGATATCCTTCCCCCAGATCTTTTTCTGTTTTGTTTTGTTTTCTTTTCTTTTCTTTTCTTTTCTAATGCATAACTTCAGATCTTGTGAATTTGGTTGATTTCACGTAGTTACCTAGAACAACATAACTAGAACTTGATAACTAGACTGAACTGAGAAATTAATAATTTCTAGAGATGAAAATTAAAGAATAAACACTGAACTCATCAAGTCACTGGTATTTCTAGGAGGCCTTTCTTAATGAGAAATCAGCTTCCTTTTGATATCTTTAAAAAATTTCAGCACAACATATCTCAGATATGGTAAGGATACAGACCTGTTATGTATTCTGTGTTATTAGTAGTAGTTATTAATAGCTGTTAAGTGCTTACTATATGCCAGGAACTCTCACTTATTAAAATAAAAAATTAGTACAACAGCCTTTAAAAATTAAATATTCAAATAAAGAATAATCCACTAATACTTAGGTGTCAAATGGTAAGTATTAATTGATTTCTGGTGGTTTGTAATTTTATTGGGACTTCACCTATGTAGACTAACGTGTCCTGTACCATAATGCCATATCAATTTTCTATGTCCTCCAGGAAACATCATACCAAAAAAAAAAAAAAAAATGTTAACTGAAACACACATTTACTGAGAACCTATTATGTGCAAGGCACCATACTAGACAGATGAATAAGACAAAGCTATTGCCCACAGGGAGTCTTCAGCTGAGTGGGAAGAGAACCAACCAGCAGTTACAATGCAATGTGGGAAGTTCTGTGATAGGACAAGTCTGAGGTGCCACAGGGAGAGTTGTGGGGCCAGTCAGGTGAGATTCCCAGAGCCGAGATCCTGTCTGAGTACGGAAAGCCCAGAAGCTACAGTGAAAATGCCCTTGTCTTTCCTTACCAGATTATTATTTCTCCTCTACCACAGCCAACAGGCCTTCTTCCCCCAGAATTTCATATCCTCCTGCCCCCTTTTTAATTTTTTTAAGATTTTATTTATTTATTTGCAGAGAGAAAGAGAGCACACAAGTAGGCAGAAGGGCAGGCAGAGGAAGAGAAAGAAGCAGCCTCCCTGCTGAGCAAGGAGCCCGATGCGGGACCTGATCCCAGAATTCTGGCATCAGGACCTGAGCCAAAGGTAGACACTTAACCAACTGAGCCACCCAGGCGCCCCTGCCCCCTTTATAAAGGACTATTAAAATTCTAATGGGTGACGCACCAGAGGTTAACCACACGGAATGCAACTTCCCAGACAAAGAAGCCCTACAAGGACCATGAGGAAGGTTTCATGTCTGTGGTTTCTTGATTGGTGGGATTCAGAGTTAATTTTGGTCAAGAATGTCTTCTTTACAAAATGGAAACTGTTTTCTTCAAATCAAAGTGGTTTGCTACAGAAAGTATCTTTGTGTTTTTTGTAGTTTACCAAAGAAAAAGAAAAGCTAACAATTTATTTTAACTATAGTGGTTTCTACTTTTTCACTGATTTAATACCCAGAATAACCATGAAACATTCTCTTTTATCTTGAGAAAAAAGAATGAGAATCATGACCCATATTTATGTAGTTTCTGTCTCAGAGGGTACTAAGTACTTCACAGACATTTCCAATTAACCCTGGTAATTTCACTGTGATCTAGATAAGAGAGAAACCTTCACACCGGGGAGAGGGCACACATTACCAATCACAGACACAGTGTCAAATCTGGAAACACAAACAAACTGATTCCCCTGGGTTAACCCAAAGTAGAGGGAAAACAGGAGGACGAGGGAAAGATACAGGGAGAAAGAGGAAGAGAGAAGGAGGGGGAGGAAGGAAAAGAGAGGGAGAGAGAAAACCTTAGTCATCATCAAATAAATTAGAGTAGGAATTTTTTATGACTAAGGCAGCTCACATTTATAAATAAAAAACTTTGGGGTGTCTGGGTAGCTCAGTCGGTTAAGCATCTGACTTCTTGGTTTCAACTGAGGTCATAATGTCAAGGTTGCAAAATCAATCTCCACACTCAGCAGGGAGTCTCCTCGAGATTCTCTCCCTCGCCTTCTGCCCCTCCCCCCACTCATGAGTTCTCTCTCCCTCTCTCTAAAATAAATCAATCTTAAAAAAAAAAAAAGCTTAAAGCTTTAGATGAAGTACAATTAATCACTTCTTACTCTAAAACTAGGAGTGGATAGCCTCAAGTTTTTATGTTTGAGATATATACAGTATCAAACTATGATTATGGGTGGTATAAACTTTATACTCAGGAAGCTTGGACTATTTACAATGTACCCATCAACCATATCTACTAATACAATTTCATAAAACTGAGGGGTGAAGACAATTAAATATAGTATATAAAAAGCGAGTTCCCCTCTCCCCACCGCAAGTTAAAAATACCACGTCTTAATCTTTCTTTGTGCATTTTTCCTCAATGCACTGATGAAAATACATCTTCTATGAATTTGACATATATGAGAAATTTTGTGGGCTTATAATTTTTGCTAATGATATAGTATCACATAAATACAGAATATTATTACTAACCTAAATCTGACTTAATGAATAAATCTTCTTCCAATTTAGGATTTTTATAATTTAACTATATTTTTCATTAATAGACCAAATACAGCATTATCCTAATATTAGACTAAAAAATAATTTGTCAGAAGCCTTAAGAAGTATTACAAAATTTGATTCTCTCTAATCTTCTCTCTCATCCAAACTTTAAACTGGATATCATCCATTCCTTGGGAGTTGATAATGCTTGAAGGAGGATTAAATGTTCATTTTAGGGAAATTCTCTCTTTCTACTTCATCTAGCTACCAAATTAACAAGTAAACTAAAGTTTTATTTGGTTGGTCCATGACTTATTCACAGTGTGAAAGACATTATCCTATGAAACAGTCTAATAAAACTTTTATTTAGTTTTCAGTTATTTTTTATTTATATTATATTATTATATATATATATATAATATATATATTATATATTATATTTCAGTTTTAGTTATTCCAGCAAAGTAGTGATAAGAAACACACAATCCATAGGTATTTTAAATATGAAAGATAAGAAATCATAATCATCGAAGACCCTCATCTCCCACCAAAAAAAAAAAAAAAAAGAACCAACCTGATTTGTCCTCTGTGTCATCAAAGTCAACACTGAAGGAATGGCCACTATTACTGATGATTTTGGCTGAGTTTGCATCATACTTGATACTAAGAGGTCGCAGGGAAGAGTCATATTTCACTTCCTTGGTTTTAATCTCAATCGGAGATTGCTGATCCCCATCAGCAATAGGGAAAAATTTATTCCAATGAATAGGACCTTAAATATATAGGGCCAAAAGAAAAGAACTAATTAAGTTACTTCTTTTACCAAACAAGTGCACTGTGCTCCAGTTGAAGGAAAAACACATTAGATCATCATCTTCAGGGCCTTTATATCTAATTTTTTTTTAATAAGACTAGTTGCTTTTATTACGGGTATGAAAACCTCCTGGTTTGCCTTAATTCATTTGCAGCATTCAATTAACCCTTATGGACAAAAAGCATGTAAGTTTTAAAAAGTACTTTCTAGGGATGCCTGGGTGGCTCATTAAGTTAAGCATCCAACTCTTGGTCTGGTTCATGATCTCATGGGTCATGAGATTGAGCCCCATGTCTGTTGGGCTCCCCACTCAGCAGGGAGTCTGCTTGAGATCCTCTCCCTCTGCCTCTCCCCCACCCTCTGCACACACGTGTGCTCTCTCTCACTCTCTCTCTCTAAAATAAGTAAATCTTTAGGGGAAAAAAAGTACTTTCCAAAGGTACCTTTCTACCAAACTACAAACAACAGCACAACTCATCACTGAAAACAATGAGATTCCGTTTCAGCTCCAAGAATGATCTGTGGTAGCTCCAGCGGTCAACAAGTTCATGGGATGAAAGAAGTAATGGAACTGAGAAAGCTGTGTAGCAAAAAAAGGGTTCAGTTCTATTCCTATTTCTTTCTTCTATCACTCACTGTTGTCCTCAGGTGTCACCCAAGCCTCACTCAGTTGCCTCTGATGTGCAACAGGCACACTAGGAAATATGTAAATTTTTCATAGAGCATAATCCAAATAAAACAGCTGCACCACATAAGGAAATGTAAGATTGTTGATTATCTTCAGGGGGGTCAGGTAACAATTTCATTCTTTCTTTCTACATTTCAGAAGGGCCTTCTGAGGTTATTTTGCCAGTGTTACATTTGAATTCCTACACAAGGGACAACTGTCATCCTGATCCTCTACTCAAAAAGTCAAAATTGCATCTAGTTCCCAAGCCAGATATACTTGGTAAACTGACATGAACCAATAAGCGGGCAATTCCCACTCTTCATTTCTCTGGGAGACTTGATTCAAGTTCTGCCTCCCCAAATCAAGGGCAAGATTGTAGCTTCAAGTAACCTCTAACTCATTTCAGACGTGAGTAGTCACTTTATAGGTTAGAGGCTCTTCTTGTCTACTATGCCTGCAATTCACGCAATAACCGCCAGGGCGACAGAGCACAGGGCTACTGACCAAGCTTCTCCCTGTTGCACTAGATTTCTCTAACGTTCAAGTACTTATTAAAATGACATAGCATGACAATTAAACATTTGTTACTGACAACAACAACATTTTTTTAAAAGTTTTTATTTTTTGTTGGAGAGAGAGAAAGAGAGAAAATATGAGTAGGGGAGGGGCAAAGAGGGAGAAGCAGGCTTCTCACTGAGCAGGGAGCCAGACATGGGGCTTGATCCCAGGATACTGGGATCATGACCTGAGCCAAAGGAAATAGCCCAACCAACTGAATCACCCAGGCGCCCTACAACAAATATTTTTTAAAGATAAGATTTAGAATGACATTTCAAGAAATGCAAATACATCACAATTATCACCAGCTTCAATCTCCAAACCTAATGCTCCATATTACTCTTCAATTTTGCAAAGGAGAAAGCTTATGCTCTTTCCTTCGCATATGTTTCAGGTATAAAAAGTCAGAGCATGACTATGTAACTATACACACAACTTAAAAGCTCTTCTCTTACGAACTGACACTTTGGACTTCAAAGCAACTTGAACATCAAAAGCCCTTGCCTACAACTTATTACAGAAAAAGCATTACGTTTCCTGATTTATTAAGTACTCCAGTTTACCTTTCTAGTACTTTCTCTGTGCAATCTAGTCCTTGCTTTAAGTGAAAAAGTTTTCCTATCTCACTGTCACCAAGTATGGTTTAACCTGATAAGAATTAGATTTTGAATATGTGATGCATATATCACAAAATGTTGTTGACCTTTTTCTTTCTCTTCCTAATTCCTTTACTCTCCTATTGCCAATCCTTTATAACAAGAATATGTTAAAAGCGGAGGCAACCCAAAATAAAATAAAAATAATCCCACTTTGCATAAATTATTCAATATCATCTATTAACCACCATAGTTTAACCACCTTTTTAAAAATTTTTCCATCCAACTTTAAACCCATTTAAACATAGTTCTTAAGGAGAGATATATAGTGATTCTTCCACTGATTCAAGAACTTTTGAATATCTATAGAGACATGTAGTTTTCAGTAAGTGTCACATTCCCTAACCTGAACCAATAAAACTATCACAGGTTAGTGCAAGAACTTTAAGTTTTTGGCGAAGGTGGTCCCCCCTTCCCAATGCCTCAACTCATGGTGTTCCGTTTTATCATTGCTACTATACCCAGTTTAAGTTTCCTTTCAACTGCTAATTCACTGCTTCTGTCAGTGTAAACAGAAAACAAGCAACCAAACTTGTCCTGTCAGGTTCAACATATTTCCAGTAGGATTTTGCCACAGTTGATCTACTTACAGGTATGGTCCTTAGAAAGCTATTGCATCTAAAAGCAGGAAATGACCCTATAATTCTTAGCAGAAATATAAAATCACTCCTTGGTAGTGGCTTTTCAGAGATAATTTTTTTAAATTTCTGAAGATGAGCTCCATTGGAGCCACTATTTTCTAATATATAAAGAGTGATTAGTACTTACTGACTGAAAACACTCTTTTTCTTCCTAACTATCGTGAGGGTGCTGTCGATACCCAGTAACTATTAAATAACAAAAATTAAAACCATTCCAGCAGAGAGGGAAATTAAAAGAAATTTGTTTTGTGTTTTCCCCCCAAACATAAATTGGAAAGTAGCAAAAGTATGAGATTATAATTATAGTTTTAGTCAAAAAGAAATTCACCTAAATTACACCTTTTATTATTAAAGTTCTAAATTTCACCTGCTGCCATTTTTAAACTGGCAAGTCAATCATAACCTCAAAAAGGCTACAATGACAAATGAAGCTTTTCTGTTCCTTTGTGAAAATAAACTTTCTGTAAAATTTGACTGTATGGTACTGTTCAATAATATACATGTTAATCCAAGGAAGTATTATTATTATTATTATATAATTTTATTTTATAAATATAAATTATTATATAATTTTATTATATAAATTATATAATTTTGACAGTGATTCACTATCAGGCTCTCTTGGTGTCACTTTGCAGTTATTTCAAATAATTGAAAAATTATTTCAAATAATTTTTTTAGGATTTTATTTATTTGTTTGACAGAGAGGGAGAGATCACAAGTAGGCAGGGGGGAGGGATTCAGGCTCCCTGCTGAGCAGAGACCACCCCCCCCCAATGTGGGGGCTCAATCCCAGGACCCTGAGATCAGGACCTGAGCTGAAGGCTTAACCCAGTGAGTCACCCAGGTGCCCCTCAAATAATGGTTATTTTGATGATTTAGTATATAGAAGAAAAAAGTATACATTTTATTATAACTGTCACTCCCATCAATAAATACATGTTCACCAACATGCTAAAATTTGAATAATCCTGTCTCTGCAAAGAGAGTGTAGGAGAGAGAGAAAGGGTGAAGAAGTAGCCTGAAGTATAACTTCATTTTTTTCAGAAAGAACCTAAGTCTTCCTAAAGCTAACAGTACCAAATTGCCATGGCAATATTTTATAGTAATAATTTTAAGAAAATTGCAGTATTTTGGTTGCCAAGAAGGCAACTTCAACCTCCAGGGTTGCAATTCAATTATTAAAATTTCTTAAGTATAGCTTCAAATGTTTTGCATGATTTGTTTCCTCTAGGTGATAATTAAAAAACTGAAAGCGAACTTGTCCTCAATTCATTAAAGTATGTCATCAGACTTCTAATCTCCGTGCCTTTAACTGATAAGTAGTTAACTAGGGAAAGTGCTCGGCTTTTCAAAGGAAAGTGAATGGACGTGTGACGAAGATTTCGGGGTCTGGGGAATCTTCACCGGGCTAACGCACACCAACTCTCACCCCCACCATCAACACCCGCCAAAAGACGCTTTTCCTGTCTACACAAGACTAAGCCTTCCCTCCACTTCCTGCATTCAGCTTTGGGTAAAGCTGCCCAATTTAAAGAGGAACCAAAAAGTTTCTCGCAAGTGCGGGATCAGCAGCTTGTGTTCCGTCCCCCACAGCCGCCCCCCCAGCAGAGCCCTCCCTCCGACCTGCAGAAGGCGCTCACCGTTGTGCTCGCCGTATCCCCAGCTGAGCCGCGACATGGTCCCTCGGGTGGGAGGCAGAGGAAGATGTGGCAGAGCAGCGAGAGGAGGGAGCGAGCGGGGCAAGCGCGCGAGCTGGCGGAGGCAGTGGCCAGCCTAGGGAGGGTCCGCCCGCCGCGGCCTGGCAGAAACGGAGCGCTGAAACCCCAGGGCCAGGGCGCTAACGACCTCGTCCGCCAGGGGGCAGCAGCGTGCAGAAAGGCGGCCGCACCTCTGAGGGCGACCCGGAGCGTTGGCGCGGAGCGGGGTGCAGCGGCAGGAGTTTTAACTCCAGAGAACGAGAGTGGGCTTGATAGAGAGGCAGAGGGGAAGGGTGGGAGGAGGCAAAGAAAGAGAGAAGGGTTTCTAGAGGGGGTTTTCTGCCTCCTGAGAAGTAGTCATCCCGGGAACGGGTCGCTTAGAGGGCTATCCTGGGAATGAATGAAATCACCTGAGCCCGAAGCTGTCAGGCTGGGAGGCGGGGCTGCTCCTGGAGACAAGGTCGTTGATGGTGGCGGTGGTGGTGGTTACGAGTACAACACAATAATGACGATGGCAACAGCCCCAGAAATAATTTAGTTGTTATTCATTAAAGGCTTACCATAGGCCAGTGTCTGAACCAAGACATTTACCCACATTTTGCCATTAGATCCTCAACATTCCTTTGAGGAAGATATTATACTTGCCCCAGAGGCTTAAGAGAAGCTAAGTAACCTGCCCCGGTCACGCAGCTAATAGGTCCCGAGAGTTCCTACTAAAAAGGGTCGGATGTCCCTTCCCTTCCCCAGCCTGGCTCTGTGGCCCATTCATCCTGTTCCCTTCCTGTCTCTCACTCTGCAGGCTGTGGCTTGAGGAGTGAGGGTACCAACCTGACTATTGATTCTTGGTCCAGAAGTTCTGCTGCCCTTTTGTCCCCACTGAGAGGAGGATGTTCATTCTGTCTTGTCTTGGATGCATGGTAGGCTTGCTGTCCTAGAGCTGAACTGACTCCAGAGTCTTGAATTTCTGTCCTAGAGTAGTGGGTATTCTGGGCGCAGAGTGAAAAACAAAGAGAACTCTGAGACCTGCCAGGATTATAATTACTGTTCCAGCTGCAGAAGGGTTTGAGTGGGGTCAGTTTGAAATTTCAGACTGAACTGTGCAGTGTTATTTATGGACAGACTAATGCAAAGAACTTCTCCATGGTCATATGAGCCTTCCATAAGAGATGTAAGAGTGGCTCTTCAATGATCATCATCCACTTTCTCTCGCCATCCACACAGCAGCTGCTTAATGTGGTAATTGCAAATCCCAGGAGGGTACTTCTTTTGGTAACCACTGTACTGTTTAGGGACCACTAAATAAGGATCAATTTGAATAATTCTTCTTTAGACCTGACCTAAATACCCCGTAGTGCAGCCTGCACTTCCTTCTGCTTCTGTAAATCTTAATGAGGTTAGCATGCAATGGGAAAAAATTTTTATACAGCCATAAGTACAATAAAATTTATGCTCCTCTTATACCTAAGGGAAAGCACAAGCTTTCTCTTCCATATTCTCTGGAACAATTGGGTTCATTTATGCTGGCATAATGGTGGCCAAACTTTCAAAGTTTTACCTATATTTCACTTTCACTACAAAAGACAAAATACATATATGTATATATTTATAGGCGAACATATATTAAAGTATTGTGTTCCAAAATACACAAAAATTCTTGAAAACTCAACAATAAGACAACAACCTGATGAAAAAATGTTCCAAAGACCTTAACAGACATCTTACCAAAGAAGATATACATATTGCAAATAAGCACATGAAAGATGCTTCACATCATATGTCATCAGGAAAATACAAATTAGGACAATAATGAGATACTACTACATACCTATGAGAATGGTGAAAATCCAGAACACTGGCAACACCAAATGTTGGCAAGGCTGTGGAAGTATAGGAACTTCCATTCATTCATCATGGGAATGCAGAATGGTGCAGCCACTTTATTTATTTATTTTTTTAAAGATTTCACTTATTTATTTGACAGAGCTCACAAGTAGGCAGAGAGGCAGGCAGAGAGAGAGAGAGGAAGGGAAGCAGGCTCCCTGCAGAGCAGAGAGCCCGATGCGGGGCTCGATCCCAGGACCCTGGGATCATGACCTGAGCCGAAGGCAGAGGCTTTAACCCACTGAGCCACCCAGGCATCCCGGTGCAGCCACTTTAGAAGACAGTTTGGCAATTTCTTACAAAACTAAACATACTCCTACCATACGATCCAGCTATCACAGTGCTCAGTATTTATCCAAGTGAAAAGTTATAAAAATCTGCACATAAAAGCCACATAAAAATCTGCACATGGATGATTACAGCAGCTTTATTTTTAATTGCCAAAACTTGAAAGCAACCAAGATGTCCTTCAGTAGGTGAATGGATAATTAAACTCTAGTGCATCCAGACAACTGAATGTTATTTAGCACTAATAAGAAATGAGCTATCAAGCCATGAAAAGACATAGAAAAACTTCGATGTCATACTGGTAAATGAAAGAAGCCAATCTGAAGACTACATACCGTATGATCCCAACTATATGATACACTGAAAATGGCAAAACTATGGAGACAGTACAACGATCAGTGGTTGCCAAGAGGGGGGCGGGTGGTGCTGAGTAGACAACACAGAAGAATTTTAGGGCAATAAAAATACTCTGTATGAGGAGCACCTGGGTGGCTCAGTCAGTTAAGTGTCCAACGCTGGATTTCAGCTCCAGTCATGATCTCAGGGATGTGAGGTGGAGCCCTGTATCAGGCTCTGTACTGGGCATGGCGCCTGCTTAAGATTCTCTCTCCCTCTCTCTCTCTCCTTCTTCTCCTTACCACATCCCCTCCTTTTCTAAAAATATACTCCATATATTACATTGATTCATACATGTCATTATACATTTGTCCAAAGCCACAGGATATAAAACACCAAGAGTGAACCCTAAGGTACACTATGAACTGTGGGTGATAAGGATTTAAGTTCATCATTTGAAATAAATATAGCCTCTGGAGGAACAAGTTGATAATGAAGGAGGCTAAGCATGTTGGAGATTTTATGGGCTCTGTCTGTACCTTCCTCTCAATGTTGTGAACCCAAAATTACTCTAATAAATAGCTTTTTAAAAAAATTAGCAAAATAGGGGCACTTGGGTGGCTCAGTAGGTTAAAGCCTCTGCCTTCGGCTCAGGTCATGATCCCAGGGTCCTGGGATCGAACCCCACATCGGGCTCCCTGCTTGGAGGGAAGCCTGCTTCTCCCTCCCCCACTTCCCCTGCTTAAGTTCCTCCTCTCACTAGGTCTCTGTCAAATACATAAATAAAATCTTTTTTAAAAAATTAGCAAAATAAACTCATGAAATACTAATGAAGTCATGTAAAACACACACACACACACACACACACACACAGAGGAGATAGCATGTAGGAGGTCCACTGCCAAATTTGGGACAATTTGGCCATCAAAAAAAATAATAATAGTAATCCCCAAATATCATGAGTCCATAGTGATACTGAAAGAGAGAGAAAATGCTTCTTTATGAGAGAATGCAAGCTACTAAATACAGATAAAGTGGTAGAATTATAAAACCATCAATTTTGCAAGGCTGGTGTAATATCTGGTTCAGGTAAGGATCAGTAATGAGTGCTAAAACTTCTAGGTGAAATGCTATTAGGGATTAGGATATTCATTCAGCCTGGGATTAAGACAAAATACATGTCACAACCAAACGTAATGTGTTACCCTCAACTGGGTCCTAGGTTGGAAAGAAAGACACGATCCCTGCATTGGAGACAGTTAAAGAATTGTAAACACAGACCACATATAGTTGATATTATTGAATTGATGTTAATTTTCATAGGTGTGGTGATGGTACGGGCAATACTTTAGGAGATGAATGTCAAAGCAATAGGGCCGAGGTACCTTCCTGTCTGAGATTGACTCTCAGATGCCTCAGTCGATAATTGGTGAATCTTGCTGAAGGATGTCCTCATGTTACAACTCCTACATTTTTTTTTTTTTGGTAGGTTTTAAATTTTCCAAAAAAAAAAAAAATCTGGGGTGACGGAAACCTTGTATTTCCTCCAATTAATGACCCACTAGCTTGCTAAATAACCTTTTATAACTAGGTGTGGGTTTTCTCCTTAACAAAGAACCTTTGTCTCCAGGTTCATAACCATGAAGTGTAAACACGTAGAGGAAGATTAACACTGACCAGGGAACCCAAGATTCCTGATCATACATGTGGCCATAATCTCCACTTCACTCTTGATTCAATTAGATCCAGTTCAAGTATCTTTGCAACAAAGCATGCTTAAGTCAGATCACTTCTTCAGTGATCACTGTATGTTACAAACAGCACTTGTAAGTGATAACTCTAGCCACAAAAATATTTCATTAAGGATGGTAACATATTGAGAAAATACCAAAGTATGAATTAATATTGTTCTATGAGGGCACATATAAATACATACAGACTCCTCCTCTGAGACGCATGTTTTTTCAAGGATTCTTTTTAGAAACTGATTGTGAACCCAAGCGGCTCTTATCATCTGGCTTTTCTGAGCAGTAAACTGAGATGAACAAAGTTCCTCAGTTACCTAGAGAGGCAGGGCACACGTTTGGGGACATAGCCCCAATTTACAGAGTCCCAAGTCCAAGGTGTTCCACTCTGTGCCCATTTCTTTCATTCAAGTCCTGTGATTTGCACAGCTGGGACTTATTAACCACAGGAATGTCTTATCATTTGATATCTTTGGAGATTGTTGGTTTTATGGAGCTGATACTATGTGGGGGTTTTGATTTCTTTAATGTCCCATTCCTAAGGTTATCCTAAGGTTATTCTAAGGTTAGGATTGTGTAAGGCAATCTCCTAAAGGGGCTAAAGGGCCTTGCCCAAGTGACCCAGGTTTCATGTCAAGATGGGAATACTCAGACCAGAATTGAAAAGGTAGCTTCAGTGAATCACCTCTCTAATCACTTTCCAGATAATAACTTCCAGAAACAGAGCCAAATATTTTGTCCTGTATTGTCAGACAAGAACATACATTGCCAAAACCCTACCTTTTACATTTTTGTTCTTTTGTTTAATCTCATACAGTCTTCTAACAGGAATTTATCACACCTTATTTTGTAGTGTTTCGTATCTTATTTGAGCACATTATAAAAGTAGACAAAGCAGGAAAGAGAAAAGGAGAAAGCTAAGATTGTTTAAAAGGAAACAAATTTGTATAGACATCAGATCAGTGTTGAAAAGTCTAGATAGTTCAGGACAAAATAATTCAACTGTCAAAAAATTTAATTAATTGTTATTAGTTTGGAATGGCCCATTTGGAAAGAAGTCAGTTTCACTCTATTGCTGTCAACTCTTTGAAATATAATGACAGATAGAATGAGGGGTGCTAACAGGCATTCTGTCATCAGCACTTATAAGGTTCACCTACCCCCTTCTGTCCTCTAGGGAAGGGCAGGGTGTTCTCTCAAGAGCAATACCCAAATCCTCATCTCACCATCAAGCAAGGTTTGGTAGATCCCCTGCTCCAAGAAGTTCTCTGCTGGATACCACCATTCTACCACAAAGATTTGATGCACTAGCCCTACCTAGCAAAACTTTCCACTCCCACGAAACATATACCATTATACCCTTTATAACCTATGTGACCAACTCCGCTTCTTCTTGATCATTGCCATTAGCATACTAATATATTCTAGAATTTCCTCTTTTTAGAAGTAAAATCACTCCCTGAACATACACATAGCTCCCATTTGCTGCCCACCCACACTGTCTGGTGTTTGTTCCTTGGGTTCTTTTATACCCAACTGTATTAGTAACGTTTCTCCAGAAAAACAGAATCACACATCAGTCCCAGCCCCAAGGGGTTACAACATTGCACAGAGTCAGTAGCAGAGCAAAAGCGCCGACCCTGCAAGAATGCGGTCACAGTGGGAGCTGAACGGCCCAACCCACCCACGGGGATTATAACAAGGACACTTGCTTCACCACGTGTGAATAGGAGACAAAGGAAAAGACAACAACAGTTTTTCAAAAACTGGTCAGTGTGTTTGAGACAACAGACCACTGTGGTAAAACTAGTGCTTCAAGATTCAGGAACTTGAACTTCACTCGGTCCTGTATCTCTAAATACTGTGTCATCAGGAAGAGCCTAGAATAAAGATTTCCTTCTCGAATCTCAGTTGTTACTCCTGCTACTATTGTTGTGGCTGCGGCTGCTGCTGTTTCTGTTCACATAAAAATGATCAATGGACGATAAGAGAAGATGTAAGACAATACTTCTAAGGTAGTTCTGGGCTGTTAGATAAATCATAAACTAAAACATAAATGTTTAATATAATTTCCAAAGGAAAACATAAAACTTAGAAGGAGTTTACTATTAAAAATGGTACGATTACATTTTCCATGACTGAAACTCTTTATCCAACATGGCTGAGGAATTATTTAAAATGAAATTGGTAGATTCTCACCTGTAAAAATACTCCCAAGACAGCTAGTCCATCTGGCTCATGAGCTGCCTCAACAAAGCTGGGGTATTTGTCTGAATTCCAATGAACAACATGGAGCTGAAAGGGACACAATTCAAAAAAAATGTTTTTAAATCCTTAAAAACATAAATGAAAATGAAATATTTATATAGATATTCTGGGTTTGTGCACACATGTGTATAATGTATTCTTCACAGAATCCTCCTTTTTGCTTTTGTCTAAAAGCCAAAGACAAGTACCATGGCCACTTGGAGTCTGTGGTATACTATAGGAAGGTCTACAGCACTAGTTAGAACGTTCTGGAGCATCCTGCCAAGCCCTCTGGTCCAAGCAATCTCCAACCATTGCTCCTGAGTGACTTAAGGCTCCTCCCTAACCTTCCACGGGTGGAAATGCAACAGAGCAGCCTTAAGTCAGATCTCAGCTGGTAGCAGAGTCCAGGAAACAAGCTTAGGCTCACAGGAGGGGGGAGACGTCAACTGATGGTTTGTAGTAACAATCCTGCTGCTAAGGACAGTACTGATTGTTCTTGAAACTGCCTAGTCAGATGTTCATCTCCATACCCGAAGAATTTTTATGACTGGAAAAAGCAAATTCTCCTTAACAGAACTATCTTAAGCAGTATTCACACATGTGTTACCTTCTAGAATTATGTTCCAATCCTTTGCTGATAGCAAGTTTTAACGGGGACAAAGAGACTTTGTCTAGGAACAGGAACTAGGAATCAGGCACATCTGAGGGTGAAAATGAGAGGCATTTGGTGCTACTGAGGTGGGAGAAAGGAAAGAAGGGGAAAGGGAAGGAGTTGAAGGACCTGGAACTCTAGAAAATAGAAAATACACCTACTTCACAACTCTGCCCTCTTGCAAGTAGCGTCCTGCAAAATCCAAAGGGGCCCTAAAAGTTCTGCGACTGTACACAGTACCGTGTCCCAAACACACAAACAACCGTGAAAGACAACTGTGAAAGAATAACAGTAAGGCAGAAAACCACCCTGGGGAGATCTTCAATCCTGATTAAGGGGAAGAACACACTACAATAGACACCAAAGGGCAATGTGCCACACTCAAAACAATTTGGCCATGATCATGAGCATGCCATGCTGTCCAAGAACCCCTGTACGAAGGACTGACCTCAGATACAATCTCCTTTCAGTGAATCCTTTGGGCACCTCAGGGGGGAAACACATATGAAGGGCTTCATGCGCAAGTCACCTTTCTAGCTGTCTCTTAAAAGAGAGAACTGAGTATGTTCAAAGTCATGGTTTTAATCCCATGCTTTAAATATAACTTCCTATTTTATAGGCAACTAATATGGGGGAATTTCTGGATAAATAAGAATTATCACAACCAGTGAGCTACAAAACTATGAAACACTCCACCATTCATAAACAATCAAGGAAGGCTGTGGGATATACAGATCGAAAATACAAAGGTGGATCCCTGCGGTACCATGTTCTAAGCTGGTGTGAGATAGCTGGAGGAGGAACGAAACCTGGAAAACACTGGATGATGAAACAGAATTCATTTGGCTCACATGAGGTAAAGACATTCCACTCTAAGGGAGGGGCTGAAAAGAACATTAAAATTGTTTTAAATGGCTCTGTGCCAATCTATCAGCTCACTTTGTAAGAGATGACACCAAAGAAAGAAAAAGAAGTGAAATGATGTCTTTAGGTTCACAACTGATTAGAAAAGGAATATGTAACTAAAGAGAAATGAATCTATATATCCTTTTCTTGGTTAAAAAACAGCAATTATTTATGGGTGCCTGGGTGGTTTCAGTCAGCTAACCATCTGCCTTCAGCTCAGGTCATTATCTTGGGGTCCTGTGATAGAGACCAGTGTTGGGTTCCCTGCTCAGCAGGGAGACTGCTTCTCCCTCTGCCCCTCCCCCCACTTGTGCTCCCACTCACTCTTTCAAATACATAAAATTGTTTAAAAAAAATAAAAAACAACAGCTATTTAGAATATTATGGGAAACTAGAGCAAGAAAAATCTTTTTTTTTTCCAAGTCTTTCTCTCTCCCACACACCTTGCCTAATTAGCACCAATAGCTTCAGAGGGACTGATACCACTTGTATTAGCATTCATATTTGTTTTTGCAGGGTTTGGGAGTTTCTTTTTAAGATTTTATTTATTTATTTGACAGAGGGAGAAGCAGACTCCCTGCTGAGTATAGACACCTCCTCCCCCAACATGGGGCTCAGCACCAGGACCCTGGGATCAGGACTTGACCTGAAGGCAACCACTTAACCAACTAACCCACCCAGGTGCCCCACCATTTGTATTTGAATTAAAACTCAAACAAATAACAAATTCGCATTTCCAGACCAACAATGACAGCTTCAGTGATTTAAGCAAATGACAAGAACTCATAGCCACAACAAAACTGGAAATGAGAAGATTCTTCCCTATTAGAAATAATCTTTTTTTTTAAAGATTTTATATATTTATTTATTTATTTATTTATTTATTTATGAGAGACCAGGAGCACAGGGAGGAGCAGAGAGAGGGAGAGAGAATCTCAAGGATACTCCGTGCTGAGGACCCTGAGATCATGACCTGAGCCAAAATCAAGAGTCTGACCCTCAACCACTGAGCCACCCAGGTACCCCAATAATTTCTAAATTATACTATTATTCAACTTTAGCATTTTAACTGCATACTATTGATACGTAAATTATGTTTAACCTGCCAAAAATCATCATTAATATTAAAATTATAGTTTTACTATCAACTACATATTTAATATGCTTATTATATAATCTGTACAAACTGTAATCAGATGAAGTTTTAAATAGGGAGTAGATTATTAGCCTACTTTTTATAGACACACAACTCTTAGGGTAAGGTTTTTCCATGATTTAGAACACTTTAATCTCTCTCTATAATGTCACCAGTCATGAGATTAGACTCAAAGTTAAATTTTTATATGGTACACTCTAAATGTTTTCTTCCTTTCATTTCTTTTCTTTTTCTTCTTCTTTTTTTTTTTTTAAGTGGGTACAACTCAATGACAATCATGAAGTTAGGTACAAAAGTGGCGGGAAAAACTAATTAAGAATCATTTCTACAGCTGAGCACAAAGGGATTCTTTTTAACCTGAAACCAAATGTGATTCCCAAATACCTCCATCTCCAGCCTGGACATCTTCCTTAAACTCCAGGTCTGTACCTAATGGCCTTCTTGAATGTGAGCCTAGAATACTAATGGACACCTCAAACTTGATGTGTGCTCAAGAGAAAGTCAGCTTCTCTCTGCAACCTGCTCCTTCCTGTACTTGCTCATCTGAGTAAGTGGCAGAAAGATCCTCATGTTTGCACAAGCCAAAGTCTTAGGAATGTTTCTAGATTCCTCTTTCTTCTTCCTTCAATCTTGCTACCCTTTTCATTGGCAAGTCCCACGGATTTTCTTTCCCAAACATATCCCGGACTCACCTAGCTCTCTTTACCTCTACCACCTCCATAGACCAAACCACCACCCTTGCTCCTTTGAAATACTTCCATAAACTTCTAACTTGTCTCCCCGTTTCAACATTTGCCTGACATCTTTTCCACACAGGAGCAAGTTATACTTTATAAAATATAAAGTAGAACAGGACATTCCCCTGCCCAAAACCTTCCATTGTCTTTATCTCAATACATCAAGGATAAATTCCAAACTTCTCACCATGCCCTACAAAGCCCAACAAGACATGGCCCTTGCCTGCCTCTCTAGGACACAACCTATAACCTCCTCTCATTAATTCCAATCCCAGAAGCCAAAGCCTTTCGCTTCCTAAACGTGCCAACTTCATTTCTGCCTGAGATAATCTGTATTTGCTGTTAAGCTGTATAGATTTGGTGAGAAGCTGTACAGATTTTCTCATGGTGAGTTTTCCTATTTAATCATACTACCAGATCCCATAGTATTGTTCCTAACAAAGAATTTACCATATACCATTTACTTATGTGTTTATTGTCTACTTCTAACACCCCATCAATCCTGAGGTCTGACCCAGACTTCCTCATTCTCCATCAGCATTCCTATCTCCCACCGGAAACAAGGATCCCCTCCTCCCCCTCTCTCTCAAACCTAATCAATCAACAAATCCCACCAAAGCTGCACTGGCCACCAGCACTCCAATTAACTGCGCTATCATCTATTCCCGGAACGTCCCGCAAAGCCTCCTCCTCGCTGACTCTCCTTATCCACTCCTGCTTCAACCCAATTTATGCTCAAACTGTAGCATGAATATTTTTAAAATGCACATATGATCACTTCACGATTCAAAGCCAGTTAATGGCTTCCCAACGCACTTAGAATTAAGTTCACAAGACTTACCATGATTGATCTTTGTAAAATCAGGCCCTCCAGCCTTTCCAACTTTACCTCTGGCATCTCTCCACTTCGTTCTTTGTGTGCTAATTCCACTGGTCACTCTGTTCTTCCAACATGTGACTACCCACCCAAGTCCTCACACTTGAGTCTAGGCAGGGCCCCTGCTGTCTCTGCCCTTTGCCTGGCTCACTCCTGCTCATCCTTCAGGTTTAGGGTTGAGGCCTCTTCCCAGGGAAACATTCCCTGGCTCATCCTTACTTCCTTCCAGCACGAGTAAGCTGGACAAAGATGGGCAACAGGGTGGGGTCACGATGACTTCTTAAAGAGTGAATGATTCATGAACAAATAAACAAATAAAATAAAAAAAAACAGCCTTAAACACATATTAAAGAATATACGAAACTCTAGTCAAAGCTTTATCTGTTTCGAGAAGGAAAGTCTACGAAGATGTCTCTTGTTCTGTAGGCAGGACTCTGAGCCTCTGGAAAATTTCAGGATAGGACTGCCCTTTTCAAGAAACAACTTGCCAGCTCAGATAAAACCTCTCAAAAGTATACTTTCAAGTTTATGACACTAGAAAGTATAACTATAAAGCAATGTGACTAAGTTTTTTTTTAGTTGCTTAGAAAAATTACAAAGCAGTAATCCAAAACCAGCTCAATCCCCACAGAAACTTTCAGATTTAGAAAAACGTGTTCAATTCAGAACACAAACTTCAGAAAGCAACATGAAAACTATTCAGCAGATGATATAAACTGAGGCACCACACAGATTCAGGAGCCCCACTTTCTATATTCTTGGCATCTTTTATCCAGTACCATGGAACACGTTGGATATACAATTTATTCCCTCCTGAAAACAGAGCGGGTCCCATATCCTGAGCAATTGGCCTCAAACAAGTGTTTTAAGTAGACAAATAGATGTTTTGGTTGATAAGCTCAAAGAATAGATGTACGTGTTAATGGAAGAGCAAAACTGGAAAGCTCTCTTGGCTGGATTTCTCTCAACAGCAGAACTATAAAGGAGTGTCTCAACTCCACAGCTTAGTAGCCATGAGAAAATGAAGAAAAACTTTACTTGCCTGGTAATGCTCTGTTTCACCTAGACAACTCATAAGCCAAATTACTGTCACTTAAAAAGCTTTGGTTGCATCACACAATAATTCACTCTCATCTCATGGAAAAGTTGAGTGTTAGCAATATTTAACAGTATTAAAACTTAAAGTATATTATGCTTTGTCATTTAACAGAGGATTAGAAAAAGTAGAGTAGTATTAATGAATTTAATTACAAAGGAATAACTTCTCAATTTAAAAAAAAAGTCAACGAATGCTTTATTGCATTATGACTTCAATAATTAACAGAGATTCCCTTTTATACCTGTAAATATAGAGGTACGGTAGAGTTTAGAAGAGTTCGTGTCTTTGTTTCTTTTCCCTGTAAGGAACTTTGCCATTTAATATCACTTCTACAAAATATGATATTAGTATACACCTGTGTCTGGACCAAATAAGTACACAGTTGGGCCCAAATCAAATGTCTCTTTCTCTGCCTTCTCCCTGGACTTTCAGGAAACACAACAGATATTCTAGAAAGAGTTTATAAGTTGGTATCAGACAGACGTGAGTTTAAACCCATCTCAACTGCTTCCTAACTGAGTAAGTTATTAATCTCTCCAAACTGGCTGTTTACTCATTTCTAGAAGGAGCACAATAACCCTAATCTCCCAGAGTTGGTGTAAGGCTCAGAAGGACCACGTTTATAGCTCTCATACTGATAAGCTCTCCTATTGATGGAATAAAGCAATATCAGACACTGATTCCTAATTGGCTCAGGATCAATTTGCAGTCAAGAGAGTTGTCAGCTGGGTTCCTTATATCCCACCACCGAGGAAACCACTGAATCATGAATATGTGTCCGACGGCTTACCTCTGCAGCATATCTCACTCCATCCACCACGTGTTCAGAGCCGTGATCATCAGCAGACCCCCAGTGAAGGTGAAACTGTCGCAAGCGGTAGCTTCCAGTGAGAGGACCCCCACGCAGAACTAAACGCCAATATATTTCAAATTGTTAGCAAGAAGAAAATATTTACACATGCCACTATAATCCACATCATCTCCCTGAATTATTCAACATGTCCATGTCCACCAAGGAATATTTTTACAAATGTGTCATTCAGTTTGCAGACAGGCATACAATTTTTAGGTGTACAAGGAATGAATACAAACATTTTAAAAGGTTGGAGAGTCCACAATACAGATTTTTATGGGACATCTGGGAAATCACAGTGGTTTGGAAAGTAGAAGAAATTAGGAGTTCCTAAAGTAAAGAATGAGTATGTTTATTGGTGGATGTCAGCCTCTCTGAATAAGGATGTGATATGTCAAGAGGGCCAATTTGAACTTGGGGAAGTAGCCCAGAAGCAATGGTTAGAGAACAGGTTCCAGCACTGAGAAGACTGCTCTTACTCTGTGATCTTGTATCAACTCTAACTTCAAAGCTATAGTTTTCATGTCTGTCACCTCAAAATACTAAGGCTCCCTCCTCCTAATGCTGTTTTGAAAATAGAAGAAAAGTTGAATACAAAGAACTTATCACTGCCTGGTACACAGCCCATATACTGGACATGTTAGCTATATTACTATTCTATTGTTTTTAGGATGACTACAAAAAATTGGCCAAGAAGCCCATCTTCTGTACTTGAATTCTAACTTCCCACGGAAACCTGGAATACAGGGCAAAATTAACTCTTTTTTTGGCAACAGAGTCATATCTTAAGTATACAGAAAACTTCTTAACAGAAAACATAGCTCTAAACTGTCTCCTCCTAATTAATTTTTATTGGGCATGCTTAAAAGATATGGGGGGATAAGAAAGCATTGGGTGTTCAGTATACCATACGCATTACTAATCTCCCATCAACACCTGACAGAAGTGTTAGATTGTGAGCTGCAGCCTTAATAATAGTTTGATTTAAATGACCCTCCTCTTCAGAGATTTCAGATAGGGAAACAGAGATACAGAGTTAGAGAAATCTCAAAATTGTCAGGAATGCTCCATCTTAGATAAGAAAAAAAAAGATGTTATGGGGCTCCTGGATGGCTCAGTCAGTAGAGCATGTGACTCTTGATCTTAGGTCGTGAGTTCAAGTCCCATGTTCCACAGGGAGACTACAGAAGCAAAAGATGTTAAGGTGTATCACGTGCAGTTTTCTACACATGGCAAGGGGAAAAAGGGAAAATACATTTGTTTAAAGCACACCCTTCGTTGAGCTTTACTGTGGGAGAGAAATGATTCAGACTGCTGTCTGTATTAACAAGTACAACTGAACTCATTTCCTCCTTACTCAATTTGACTCAGGCGAAGTTGAACATCAATGATGAAGAGTTAGTGTGGTTGGGATCAGCAAACATGGGAATAGTCCCAGATCAGCTACTGAATTATGTGATCTTCCAAAACTCACTTAAGCCTCTGTGGGCATCAGCTTTTTTGTCTCTATTTGTGTTCGTTTGTCTGTTTTTAATTAGGAGATTGGACTGATGCTCCTTAACTTCTATAATTATCAAAATTACCAAGGAAAAATACTGAACATGTGCAATAAAATTTGGGAGGATGTTGAATGACTGGAGGTTTCTTTAGACTATTTGGATCCAGATTTCTTTACAATAAAGATAGCTATTTCCAAAGACCTCTGAAAAATAAAAGAGAAGCATTTATATCAGACTCGAGGGCTTGCTCTTTTGTTAGTTGCACTGTTACAAACAGAGTAGTTTTACTGCTTTGAGTCTCCCACTAACAGTGTTCATGAGGGCAGAAACTCTGACTGGGTCCCTGCTGGACCCATCACCTAAGCATGGTAACTATCACAGAGCAGATGCATGATAAATATTTGATGAATGAATGAATAAAATATTTGATCTGTCTTTAAACAAGCAGTCAAAGATGATTCACAGATAAATTAATTTAAAAGGCACATTTGCCTAAGTGACTCCATTCAGCATGGATGCAATGGCATTCCAAATGAAATCATTTTTTAAAATTTTTCCTTTTTTCTTTATTTTAATTCCAGTTAGTTAACATATAGTGTGGTATTAGAATTCAGTGATTCCCCACTTACATATAACACCCAGTGGCCGTTACTTCAAGTGCCCTCCTTAATGCCCATCATCCATTTAGGACATTCCCCCCATCCTCCCCCCCACAGCTTGTTCTCTGTAGTTAAGAGTCTTTTATGGTTTGCCTCTTTCTCCGTTTCCATCTTATTTTTCCTTCCCTTCCCCTATGTTCATCTGCCTTGTTTCTTCAATTTCACATATGAGTGACAGCCTGTGATAATTGCCAAAGAAATCAACAATTCTATTGTCCTTTTTTCCCCCCTTACTGTAGCATAATAAGAGCTGAGCTGAAACAAAAAGTCATTCCCTCACAGATAAAAAGCAGATTAGAGTAATCAATGTGGAATAAACTTTGGGAGAAGATGCAAACAAGCTGGCTCAAGAGAAAGAAAGTGATATCAAAAACACACAGGGTTAGGGAAACATCCAAGAATCATGGTTGATCTCTGGAAAGCCTACTCAGAATCCAGGGTTTAAAGCCATATTAGCATAGCTCTGCTAGTTAAGCAACAAAGATTGCCTTACACTCTATATATCTTACTCCACATGTGAGTGTTTCATCTACAATATCCAAACTGGGACCATAATCAGCAAATGTCTACTTATGAAGGAAGACATTCTCTTGAAGCAGAGCTCTTTTGAAGAAACACGGGTTGGGGAAAAGTGAGTCAAAATATTAAGGTGAATTTATCACTGACTTTGAGATAGTCTGTAAGAAAATAATGAAACTATAGTATGAAATGAATACGGGCAACAAAAATTATTCTTAGGGAGAATGACTTCGTGTTTTCAAGGGTCAAATCATTCATCTTCCTCTGCAACTGAGATGAGTAAATAAATATTATTATCTCCATCTTATATGTGAAAACGAATAATCATTTCTCCAAAATCACCCTTGGTATACATGTCCACTTATTCTTTCATTCAGAATTTTTCTTAAGTCTATTCCAAATAGAATACTCATATAAGAGGTCTACAGAGATTAAGAAACCTGAGTTAAATGCCATCAAAGTTTGGGAAATTTTTAATATCTTAGTAAAAGGGTCCTTGTCATTTGTGATATGCTGCAAAGACCAACAATGTTGTGAAACTAGAAATGTATATGTTACTCCCTTGAATTTGACTTTGTTAGAAATTTGCTAACCTTACTTATTTCATGAAACTACACTGTTGTCAGTGGCCTTAAATGATAAGCAAGGCTTGCAACAAAATCAGAAAAAAAAACATTTAATAATTAACACACTTGTCTATGCATGTATTTACTGCCTATCCCACCAGCATACAAACTCTTTTAAGGCAGAATCTCTCTTGTTCTTTTTGTATCTTCAGTGCCTAGGACAGTGTCTGCATCAGTAAATATCACTAACAGAAAATAGGAAAAAGACCTCATCTGTAGAAGCACTTCTCCATAGACTTTGGTTTATAAGGTGGGCCCTGAGTAAATGACCTAGGAATTGCTAAAGAACATGTTCTTATGACTCTGAATCTAATGAAATCGCTGTGTGGTAAACAGTTCTCTGAAGTAAAGCTATGTGAACAGCACATCTCTATTTTGCTTGAATCTAGGAAAAGAGGAACCAAACAGCACAAAACTGTCAGGATTGTACCGTGAGAGAGAAAGAGACCAAGGCTATAAATGTTTCCGGTCCCCGGGGCCTGAATTCTTTATGGAACCAGGAAAGTCTTCATTCAATCTGGCTTCTTTTGTTCTGAGCATATGCACACCACGTTACTCTCTCATTGCTCATTCATTCAATGATTCTGAAGAGCTTACTTATGGGCCTGTGACTGTGTTCAAGGCTAAGTAAGTATGGGATGCTGAGTAAAGTCATCCCTACCCTCAAGGAACTTACAGTCTAGTGAAGGAAATGTCATTACACAAAAGCTTTGTAATGTCTACACTGTCACAAATCAGCAATTCCATTTCCTGCAGATCTGGGCTTCTGGGAGGGATCACACAACTAAGATATCCTTCCCCCAGATCTTTTTCTGTTTTGTTTTGTTTTCTTTTCTTTTCTTTTCTTTTCTAATGCATAACTTCAGATCTTGTGAATTTGGTTGATTTCACGTAGTTACCTAGAACAACATAACTAGAACTTGATAACTAGACTGAACTGAGAAATTAATAATTTCTAGAGATGAAAATTAAAGAATAAACACTGAACTCATCAAGTCACTGGTATTTCTAGGAGGCCTTTCTTAATGAGAAATCAGCTTCCTTTTGATATCTTTAAAAAATTTCAGCACAACATATCTCAGATATGGTAAGGATACAGACCTGTTATGTATTCTGTGTTATTAGTAGTAGTTATTAATAGCTGTTAAGTGCTTACTATATGCCAGGAACTCTCACTTATTAAAATAAAAAATTAGTACAACAGCCTTTAAAAATTAAATATTCAAATAAAGAATAATCCACTAATACTTAGGTGTCAAATGGTAAGTATTAATTGATTTCTGGTGGTTTGTAATTTTATTGGGACTTCACCTATGTAGACTAACGTGTCCTGTACCATAATGCCATATCAATTTTCTATGTCCTCCAGGAAACATCATACCAAAAAAAAAAAAAAAAATGTTAACTGAAACACACATTTACTGAGAACCTATTATGTGCAAGGCACCATACTAGACAGATGAATAAGACAAAGCTATTGCCCACAGGGAGTCTTCAGCTGAGTGGGAAGAGAACCAACCAGCAGTTACAATGCAATGTGGGAAGTTCTGTGATAGGACAAGTCTGAGGTGCCACAGGGAGAGTTGTGGGGCCAGTCAGGTGAGATTCCCAGAGCCGAGATCCTGTCTGAGTACGGAAAGCCCAGAAGCTACAGTGAAAATGCCCTTGTCTTTCCTTACCAGATTATTATTTCTCCTCTACCACAGCCAACAGGCCTTCTTCCCCCAGAATTTCATATCCTCCTGCCCCCTTTTTAATTTTTTTAAGATTTTATTTATTTATTTGCAGAGAGAAAGAGAGCACACAAGTAGGCAGAAGGGCAGGCAGAGGAAGAGAAAGAAGCAGCCTCCCTGCTGAGCAAGGAGCCCGATGCGGGACCTGATCCCAGAATTCTGGCATCAGGACCTGAGCCAAAGGTAGACACTTAACCAACTGAGCCACCCAGGCGCCCCTGCCCCCTTTATAAAGGACTATTAAAATTCTAATGGGTGACGCACCAGAGGTTAACCACACGGAATGCAACTTCCCAGACAAAGAAGCCCTACAAGGACCATGAGGAAGGTTTCATGTCTGTGGTTTCTTGATTGGTGGGATTCAGAGTTAATTTTGGTCAAGAATGTCTTCTTTACAAAATGGAAACTGTTTTCTTCAAATCAAAGTGGTTTGCTACAGAAAGTATCTTTGTGTTTTTTGTAGTTTACCAAAGAAAAAGAAAAGCTAACAATTTATTTTAACTATAGTGGTTTCTACTTTTTCACTGATTTAATACCCAGAATAACCATGAAACATTCTCTTTTATCTTGAGAAAAAAGAATGAGAATCATGACCCATATTTATGTAGTTTCTGTCTCAGAGGGTACTAAGTACTTCACAGACATTTCCAATTAACCCTGGTAATTTCACTGTGATCTAGATAAGAGAGAAACCTTCACACCGGGGAGAGGGCACACATTACCAATCACAGACACAGTGTCAAATCTGGAAACACAAACAAACTGATTCCCCTGGGTTAACCCAAAGTAGAGGGAAAACAGGAGGACGAGGGAAAGATACAGGGAGAAAGAGGAAGAGAGAAGGAGGGAGAGGAAGGAAAAGAGAGGGAGAGAGAAAACCTTAGTCATCATCAAATAAATTAGAGTAGGAATTTTTTATGACTAAGGCAGCTCACATTTATAAATAAAAAACTTTGGGGTGTCTGGGTAGCTCAGTCGGTTAAGCATCTGACTTCTTGGTTTCAACTGAGGTCATAATGTCAAGGTTGCAAAATCAATCTCCACACTCAGCAGGGAGTCTCCTCGAGATTCTCTCCCTCGCCTTCTGCCCCTCCCCCCACTCATGAGTTCTCTCTCCCTCTCTCTAAAATAAATCAATCTTAAAAAAAAAAAAAGCTTAAAGCTTTAGATGAAGTACAATTAATCACTTCTTACTCTAAAACTAGGAGTGGATAGCCTCAAGTTTTTATGTTTGAGATATATACAGTATCAAACTATGATTATGGGTGGTATAAACTTTATACTCAGGAAGCTTGGACTATTTACAATGTACCCATCAACCATATCTACTAATACAATTTCATAAAACTGAGGGGTGAAGACAATTAAATATAGTATATAAAAAGCGAGTTCCCCTCTCCCCACCACAAGTTAAAAATACCACGTCTTAATCTTTCTTTGTGCATTTTTCCTCAATGCACTGATGAAAATACATCTTCTATGAATTTGACATATATGAGAAATTTTGTGGGCTTATAATTTTTGCTAATGATATAGTATCACATAAATACAGAATATTATTACTAACCTAAATCTGACTTAATGAATAAATCTTCTTCCAATTTAGGATTTTTATAATTTAACTATATTTTTCATTAATAGACCAAATACAGCATTATCCTAATATTAGACTAAAAAATAATTTGTCAGAAGCCTTAAGAAGTATTACAAAATTTGATTCTCTCTAATCTTCTCTCTCATCCAAACTTTAAACTGGATATCATCCATTCCTTGGGAGTTGATAATGCTTGAAGGAGGATTAAATGTTCATTTTAGGGAAATTCTCTCTTTCTACTTCATCTAGCTACCAAATTAACAAGTAAACTAAAGTTTTATTTGGTTGGTCCATGACTTATTCACAGTGTGAAAGACATTATCCTATGAAACAGTCTAATAAAACTTTTATTTAGTTTTCAGTTATTTTTTATTTATATTATATTATTATATATATATATAATATATATATTATATATTATATTTCAGTTTTAGTTATTCCAGCAAAGTAGTGATAAGAAACACACAATCCATAGGTATTTTAAATATGAAAGATAAGAAATCATAATCATCGAAGACCCTCATCTCCCACCAAAAAAAAAAAAAAAAAGAACCAACCTGATTTGTCCTCTGTGTCATCAAAGTCAACACTGAAGGAATGGCCACTATTACTGATGATTTTGGCTGAGTTTGCATCATACTTGATACTAAGAGGTCGCAGGGAAGAGTCATATTTCACTTCCTTGGTTTTAATCTCAATCGGAGATTGCTGATCCCCATCAGCAATAGGGAAAAATTTATTCCAATGAATAGGACCTTAAATATATAGGGCCAAAAGAAAAGAACTAATTAAGTTACTTCTTTTACCAAACAAGTGCACTGTGCTCCAGTTGAAGGAAAAACACATTAGATCATCATCTTCAGGGCCTTTATATCTAATTTTTTTTTAATAAGACTAGTTGCTTTTATTACGGGTATGAAAACCTCCTGGTTTGCCTTAATTCATTTGCAGCATTCAATTAACCCTTATGGACAAAAAGCATGTAAGTTTTAAAAAGTACTTTCTAGGGATGCCTGGGTGGCTCATTAAGTTAAGCATCCAACTCTTGGTCTGGTTCATGATCTCATGGGTCATGAGATTGAGCCCCATGTCTGTTGGGCTCCCCACTCAGCAGGGAGTCTGCTTGAGATCCTCTCCCTCTGCCTCTCCCCCACCCTCTGCACACACGTGTGCTCTCTCTCACTCTCTCTCTCTAAAATAAGTAAATCTTTAGGGGAAAAAAAGTACTTTCCAAAGGTACCTTTCTACCAAACTACAAACAACAGCACAACTCATCACTGAAAACAATGAGATTCCGTTTCAGCTCCAAGAATGATCTGTGGTAGCTCCAGCGGTCAACAAGTTCATGGGATGAAAGAAGTAATGGAACTGAGAAAGCTGTGTAGCAAAAAAAGGGTTCAGTTCTATTCCTATTTCTTTCTTCTATCACTCACTGTTGTCCTCAGGTGTCACCCAAGCCTCACTCAGTTGCCTCTGATGTGCAACAGGCACACTAGGAAATATGTAAATTTTTCATAGAGCATAATCCAAATAAAACAGCTGCACCACATAAGGAAATGTAAGATTGTTGATTATCTTCAGGGGGGTCAGGTAACAATTTCATTCTTTCTTTCTACATTTCAGAAGGGCCTTCTGAGGTTATTTTGCCAGTGTTACATTTGAATTCCTACACAAGGGACAACTGTCATCCTGATCCTCTACTCAAAAAGTCAAAATTGCATCTAGTTCCCAAGCCAGATATACTTGGTAAACTGACATGAACCAATAAGCGGGCAATTCCCACTCTTCATTTCTCTGGGAGACTTGATTCAAGTTCTGCCTCCCCAAATCAAGGGCAAGATTGTAGCTTCAAGTAACCTCTAACTCATTTCAGACGTGAGTAGTCACTTTATAGGTTAGAGGCTCTTCTTGTCTACTATGCCTGCAATTCACGCAATAACCGCCAGGGCGACAGAGCACAGGGCTACTGACCAAGCTTCTCCCTGTTGCACTAGATTTCTCTAACGTTCAAGTACTTATTAAAATGACATAGCATGACAATTAAACATTTGTTACTGACAACAACAACATTTTTTTAAAAGTTTTTATTTTTTGTTGGAGAGAGAGAAAGAGAGAAAATATGAGTAGGGGAGGGGCAAAGAGGGAGAAGCAGGCTTCTCACTGAGCAGGGAGCCAGACATGGGGCTTGATCCCAGGATACTGGGATCATGACCTGAGCCAAAGGAAATAGCCCAACCAACTGAATCACCCAGGCGCCCTACAACAAATATTTTTTAAAGATAAGATTTAGAATGACATTTCAAGAAATGCAAATACATCACAATTATCACCAGCTTCAATCTCCAAACCTAATGCTCCATATTACTCTTCAATTTTGCAAAGGAGAAAGCTTATGCTCTTTCCTTCGCATATGTTTCAGGTATAAAAAGTCAGAGCATGACTATGTAACTATACACACAACTTAAAAGCTCTTCTCTTACGAACTGACACTTTGGACTTCAAAGCAACTTGAACATCAAAAGCCCTTGCCTACAACTTATTACAGAAAAAGCATTACGTTTCCTGATTTATTAAGTACTCCAGTTTACCTTTCTAGTACTTTCTCTGTGCAATCTAGTCCTTGCTTTAAGTGAAAAAGTTTTCCTATCTCACTGTCACCAAGTATGGTTTAACCTGATAAGAATTAGATTTTGAATATGTGATGCATATATCACAAAATGTTGTTGACCTTTTTCTTTCTCTTCCTAATTCCTTTACTCTCCTATTGCCAATCCTTTATAACAAGAATATGTTAAAAGCGGAGGCAACCCAAAATAAAATAAAAATAATCCCACTTTGCATAAATTATTCAATATCATCTATTAACCACCATAGTTTAACCACCTTTTTAAAAATTTTTCCATCCAACTTTAAACCCATTTAAACATAGTTCTTAAGGAGAGATATATAGTGATTCTTCCACTGATTCAAGAACTTTTGAATATCTATAGAGACATGTAGTTTTCAGTAAGTGTCACATTCCCTAACCTGAACCAATAAAACTATCACAGGTTAGTGCAAGAACTTTAAGTTTTTGGCGAAGGTGGTCCCCCCTTCCCAATGCCTCAACTCATGGTGTTCCGTTTTATCATTGCTACTATACCCAGTTTAAGTTTCCTTTCAACTGCTAATTCACTGCTTCTGTCAGTGTAAACAGAAAACAAGCAACCAAACTTGTCCTGTCAGGTTCAACATATTTCCAGTAGGATTTTGCCACAGTTGATCTACTTACAGGTATGGTCCTTAGAAAGCTATTGCATCTAAAAGCAGGAAATGACCCTATAATTCTTAGCAGAAATATAAAATCACTCCTTGGTAGTGGCTTTTCAGAGATAATTTTTTTAAATTTCTGAAGATGAGCTCCATTGGAGCCACTATTTTCTAATATATAAAGAGTGATTAGTACTTACTGACTGAAAACACTCTTTTTCTTCCTAACTATCGTGAGGGTGCTGTCGATACCCAGTAACTATTAAATAACAAAAATTAAAACCATTCCAGCAGAGAGGGAAATTAAAAGAAATTTGTTTTGTGTTTTCCCCCCAAACATAAATTGGAAAGTAGCAAAAGTATGAGATTATAATTATAGTTTTAGTCAAAAAGAAATTCACCTAAATTACACCTTTTATTATTAAAGTTCTAAATTTCACCTGCTGCCATTTTTAAACTGGCAAGTCAATCATAACCTCAAAAAGGCTACAATGACAAATGAAGCTTTTCTGTTCCTTTGTGAAAATAAACTTTCTGTAAAATTTGACTGTATGGTACTGTTCAATAATATACATGTTAATCCAAGGAAGTATTATTATTATTATTATATAATTTTATTTTATAAATATAAATTATTATATAATTTTATTATATAAATTATATAATTTTGACAGTGATTCACTATCAGGCTCTCTTGGTGTCACTTTGCAGTTATTTCAAATAATTGAAAAATTATTTCAAATAATTTTTTTAGGATTTTATTTATTTGTTTGACAGAGAGGGAGAGATCACAAGTAGGCAGGGGGGAGGGATTCAGGCTCCCTGCTGAGCAGAGACCACCCCCCCCCAATGTGGGGGCTCAATCCCAGGACCCTGAGATCAGGACCTGAGCTGAAGGCTTAACCCAGTGAGTCACCCAGGTGCCCCTCAAATAATGGTTATTTTGATGATTTAGTATATAGAAGAAAAAAGTATACATTTTATTATAACTGTCACTCCCATCAATAAATACATGTTCACCAACATGCTAAAATTTGAATAATCCTGTCTCTGCAAAGAGAGTGTAGGAGAGAGAGAAAGGGTGAAGAAGTAGCCTGAAGTATAACTTCATTTTTTTCAGAAAGAACCTAAGTCTTCCTAAAGCTAACAGTACCAAATTGCCATGGCAATATTTTATAGTAATAATTTTAAGAAAATTGCAGTATTTTGGTTGCCAAGAAGGCAACTTCAACCTCCAGGGTTGCAATTCAATTATTAAAATTTCTTAAGTATAGCTTCAAATGTTTTGCATGATTTGTTTCCTCTAGGTGATAATTAAAAAACTGAAAGCGAACTTGTCCTCAATTCATTAAAGTATGTCATCAGACTTCTAATCTCCGTGCCTTTAACTGATAAGTAGTTAACTAGGGAAAGTGCTCGGCTTTTCAAAGGAAAGTGAATGGACGTGTGACGAAGATTTCGGGGTCTGGGGAATCTTCACCGGGCTAACGCACACCAACTCTCACCCCCACCATCAACACCCGCCAAAAGACGCCTTTCCTGTCTACACAAGACTAAGCCTTCCCTCCACTTCCTGCATTCAGCTTTGGGTAAAGCTGCCCAATTTAAAGAGGAACCAAAAAGTTTCTCGCAAGTGCGGGATCAGCAGCTTGTGTTCCGTCCCCCACAGCCGCCCCCCCAGCAGAGCCCTCCCTCCGACCTGCAGAAGGCGCTCACCGTTGTGCTCGCCGTATCCCCAGCTGAGCCGCGACATGGTCCCTCGGGTGGGAGGCAGAGGAAGATGTGGCAGAGCAGCGAGAGGAGGGAGCGAGCGGGGCAAGCGCGCGAGCTGGCGGAGGCAGTGGCCAGCCTAGGGAGGGTCCGCCCGCCGCGGCCTGGCAGAAACGGAGCGCTGAAACCCCAGGGCCAGGGCGCTAACGACCTCGTCCGCCAGGGGGCAGCAGCGTGCAGAAAGGCGGCCGCACCTCTGAGGGCGACCCGGAGCGTTGGCGCGGAGCGGGGTGCAGCGGCAGGAGTTTTAACTCCAGAGAACGAGAGTGGGCTTGATAGAGAGGCAGAGGGGAAGGGTGGGAGGAGGCAAAGAAAGAGAGAAGGGTTTCTAGAGGGGGTTTTCTGCCTCCTGAGAAGTAGTCATCCCGGGAACGGGTCGCTTAGAGGGCTATCCTGGGAATGAATGAAATCACCTGAGCCCGAAGCTGTCAGGCTGGGAGGCGGGGCTGCTCCTGGAGACAAGGTCGTTGATGGTGGCGGTGGTGGTGGTTACGAGTACAACACAATAATGACGATGGCAACAGCCCCAGAAATAATTTAGTTGTTATTCATTAAAGGCTTACCATAGGCCAGTGTCTGAACCAAGACATTTACCCACATTTTGCCATTAGATCCTCAACATTCCTTTGAGGAAGATATTATACTTGCCCCAGAGGCTTAAGAGAAGCTAAGTAACCTGCCCCGGTCACGCAGCTAATAGGTCCCGAGAGTTCCTACTAAAAAGGGTCGGATGTCCCTTCCCTTCCCCAGCCTGGCTCTGTGGCCCATTCATCCTGTTCCCTTCCTGTCTCTCACTCTGCAGGCTGTGGCTTGAGGAGTGAGGGTACCAACCTGACTATTGATTCTTGGTCCAGAAGTTCTGCTGCCCTTTTGTCCCCACTGAGAGGAGGATGTTCATTCTGTCTTGTCTTGGATGCATGGTAGGCTTGCTGTCCTAGAGCTGAACTGACTCCAGAGTCTTGAATTTCTGTCCTAGAGTAGTGGGTATTCTGGGCGCAGAGTGAAAAACAAAGAGAACTCTGAGACCTGCCAGGATTATAATTACTGTTCCAGCTGCAGAAGGGTTTGAGTGGGGTCAGTTTGAAATTTCAGACTGAACTGTGCAGTGTTATTTATGGACAGACTAATGCAAAGAACTTCTCCATGGTCATATGAGCCTTCCATAAGAGATGTAAGAGTGGCTCTTCAATGATCATCATCCACTTTCTCTCGCCATCCACACAGCAGCTGCTTAATGTGGTAATTGCAAATCCCAGGAGGGTACTTCTTTTGGTAACCACTGTACTGTTTAGGGACCACTAAATAAGGATCAATTTGAATAATTCTTCTTTAGACCTGACCTAAATACCCCGTAGTGCAGCCTGCACTTCCTTCTGCTTCTGTAAATCTTAATGAGGTTAGCATGCAATGGGAAAAAATTTTTATACAGCCATAAGTACAATAAAATTTATGCTCCTCTTATACCTAAGGGAAAGCACAAGCTTTCTCTTCCATATTCTCTGGAACAATTGGGTTCATTTATGCTGGCATAATGGTGGCCAAACTTTCAAAGTTTTACCTATATTTCACTTTCACTACAAAAGACAAAATACATATATGTATATATTTATAGGCGAACATATATTAAAGTATTGTGTTCCAAAATACACAAAAATTCTTGAAAACTCAACAATAAGACAACAACCTGATGAAAAAATGTTCCAAAGACCTTAACAGACATCTTACCAAAGAAGATATACATATTGCAAATAAGCACATGAAAGATGCTTCACATCATATGTCATCAGGAAAATACAAATTAGGACAATAATGAGATACTACTACATACCTATGAGAATGGTGAAAATCCAGAACACTGGCAACACCAAATGTTGGCAAGGCTGTGGAAGTATAGGAACTTCCATTCATTCATCATGGGAATGCAGAATGGTGCAGCCACTTTATTTATTTATTTTTTTAAAGATTTCACTTATTTATTTGACAGAGCTCACAAGTAGGCAGAGAGGCAGGCAGAGAGAGAGAGAGGAAGGGAAGCAGGCTCCCTGCAGAGCAGAGAGCCCGATGCGGGGCTCGATCCCAGGACCCTGGGATCATGACCTGAGCCGAAGGCAGAGGCTTTAACCCACTGAGCCACCCAGGCATCCCGGTGCAGCCACTTTAGAAGACAGTTTGGCAATTTCTTACAAAACTAAACATACTCCTACCATACGATCCAGCTATCACAGTGCTCAGTATTTATCCAAGTGAAAAGTTATAAAAATCTGCACATAAAAGCCACATAAAAATCTGCACATGGATGATTACAGCAGCTTTATTTTTAATTGCCAAAACTTGAAAGCAACCAAGATGTCCTTCAGTAGGTGAATGGATAATTAAACTCTAGTGCATCCAGACAACTGAATGTTATTTAGCACTAATAAGAAATGAGCTATCAAGCCATGAAAAGACATAGAAAAACTTCGATGTCATACTGGTAAATGAAAGAAGCCAATCTGAAGACTACATACCGTATGATCCCAACTATATGATACACTGAAAATGGCAAAACTATGGAGACAGTACAACGATCAGTGGTTGCCAAGAGGGGGGCGGGTGGTGCTGAGTAGACAACACAGAAGAATTTTAGGGCAATAAAAATACTCTGTATGAGGAGCACCTGGGTGGCTCAGTCAGTTAAGTGTCCAACGCTGGATTTCAGCTCCAGTCATGATCTCAGGGATGTGAGGTGGAGCCCTGTATCAGGCTCTGTACTGGGCATGGCGCCTGCTTAAGATTCTCTCTCCCTCTCTCTCTCTCCTTCTTCTCCTTACCACATCCCCTCCTTTTCTAAAAATATACTCCATATATTACATTGATTCATACATGTCATTATACATTTGTCCAAAGCCACAGGATATAAAACACCAAGAGTGAACCCTAAGGTACACTATGAACTGTGGGTGATAAGGATTTAAGTTCATCATTTGAAATAAATATAGCCTCTGGAGGAACAAGTTGATAATGAAGGAGGCTAAGCATGTTGGAGATTTTATGGGCTCTGTCTGTACCTTCCTCTCAATGTTGTGAACCCAAAATTACTCTAATAAATAGCTTTTTAAAAAAATTAGCAAAATAGGGGCACTTGGGTGGCTCAGTAGGTTAAAGCCTCTGCCTTCGGCTCAGGTCATGATCCCAGGGTCCTGGGATCGAACCCCACATCGGGCTCCCTGCTTGGAGGGAAGCCTGCTTCTCCCTCCCCCACTTCCCCTGCTTAAGTTCCTCCTCTCACTAGGTCTCTGTCAAATACATAAATAAAATCTTTTTTAAAAAATTAGCAAAATAAACTCATGAAATACTAATGAAGTCATGTAAAACACACACACACACACACACACACACACACAGAGGAGATAGCATGTAGGAGGTCCACTGCCAAATTTGGGACAATTTGGCCATCAAAAAAAATAATAATAGTAATCCCCAAATATCATGAGTCCATAGTGATACTGAAAGAGAGACAAAATGCTTCTTTATGAGAGAATGCAAGCTACTAAATACAGATAAAGTGGTAGAATTATAAAACCATCAATTTTGCAAGGCTGGTGTAATATCTGGTTCAGGTAAGGATCAGTAATGAGTGCTAAAACTTCTAGGTGAAATGCTATTAGGGATTAGGATATTCATTCAGCCTGGGATTAAGACAAAATACATGTCACAACCAAACGTAATGTGTTACCCTCAACTGGGTCCTAGGTTGGAAAGAAAGACACGATCCCTGCATTGGAGACAGTTAAAGAATTGTAAACACAGACCACATATAGTTGATATTATTGAATTGATGTTAATTTTCATAGGTGTGGTGATGGTACGGGCAATACTTTAGGAGATGAATGTCAAAGCAATAGGGCCGAGGTACCTTCCTGTCTGAGATTGACTCTCAGATGCCTCAGTCGATAATTGGTGAATCTTGCTGAAGGATGTCCTCATGTTACAACTCCTACATTTTTTTTTTTTTGGTAGGTTTTAAATTTTCCAAAAAAAAAAAAAATCTGGGGTGACGAAAACCTTGTATTTCCTCCAATTAATGACCCACTAGCTTGCTAAATAACCTTTTATAACTAGGTGTGGGTTTTCTCCTTAACAAAGAACCTTTGTCTCCAGGTTCATAACCATGAAGTGTAAACACGTAGAGGAAGATTAACACTGACCAGGGAACCCAAGATTCCTGATCATACATGTGGCCATAATCTCCACTTCACTCTTGATTCAATTAGATCCAGTTCAAGTATCTTTGCAACAAAGCATGCTTAAGTCAGATCACTTCTTCAGTGATCACTGTATGTTACAAACAGCACTTGTAAGTGATAACTCTAGCCACAAAAATATTTCATTAAGGATGGTAACATATTGAGAAAATACCAAAGTATGAATTAATATTGTTCTATGAGGGCACATATAAATACATACAGACTCCTCCTCTGAGACGCATGTTTTTTCAAGGATTCTTTTTAGAAACTGATTGTGAACCCAAGCGGCTCTTATCATCTGGCTTTTCTGAGCAGTAAACTGAGATGAACAAAGTTCCTCAGTTACCTAGAGAGGCAGGGCACACGTTTGGGGACATAGCCCCAATTTACAGAGTCCCAAGTCCAAGGTGTTCCACTCTGTGCCCATTTCTTTCATTCAAGTCCTGTGATTTGCACAGCTGGGACTTATTAACCACAGGAATGTCTTATCATTTGATATCTTTGGAGATTGTTGGTTTTATGGAGCTGATACTATGTGGGGGTTTTGATTTCTTTAATGTCCCATTCCTAAGGTTATCCTAAGGTTATTCTAAGGTTAGGATTGTGTAAGGCAATCTCCTAAAGGGGCTAAAGGGCCTTGCCCAAGTGACCCAGGTTTCATGTCAAGATGGGAATACTCAGACCAGAATTGAAAAGGTAGCTTCAGTGAATCACCTCTCTAATCACTTTCCAGATAATAACTTCCAGAAACAGAGCC